AAACAGTGTCTACCAGGAGTACAACATCAACAAATGACACTATCGTCAAGTAGGATTTTGACTGGTCTAAAATAAATCTTTTGGGAGTTGTCATACATGTAAGATACTAATTAATTGACGAAAAATATATTACATAGTCCTGGATTAAATATACAACCTTGAAACACTCGACTCTCTGTACAGAATGGACTGCTTCATTCTTGACAAAACATTCTAAAACATATTTCAAATAACATAAAATACTCTACCGTGTCACCCGTAGCACAAAAACAGGTACAAAATATTCTATCGATCAACGAGATCAAAGGTCTTACGATAAATGATGCATAGAATCTTCCATTTGGTGTATTTAAATATTTGTTCATGCTTGTAATACAAATATATTATTTTTGGTAGATTAATGTTTACTCAAATGCCTGAGATTCGTGAATTGTATTATCTTCATCAGTCCTGCTGTATAATCATTTTGTTAGTATTTTGCCCTTTTCACTGAAAAGAAGTTTTGGCGTATTGCAATATTGCTGGGTGAAGTGTTAGGTAACAAACAAACACGGGCTTTTTTATGAAAATTGTGTAAAAAATCAACAATCATATTGACAAATATTTGTCTAAATGTAAGTAGTGAATGTCTGACATATTCTCGGGAATATATAAATTTTGATTTCCAACGTCTAATTCTTTAATGTGAGTTATAAATTCGAGTATGTACACTCTTCAAAAAAAGAAACGCACAGGTAGATTTTTAGCTAATTTATTGTAGTCGATAAATTTTATATAATATCATAGATACAAGTATGAAATTTTGAGGCTCGATAGTCACATGTTGTCGTTGTACACAGGCATTGAAAACTGTTGTCATTGTCATTGTCATGTCACATAAGGCCACAAAGTTGCGCTGAACTCAGTATCTCCTGTGACCGCCCTGGGCAGCAATCATAGCTCTACATCTCCTCGGCACTGACTAGATAAGTGTACGAATTCTGTCCTGCAGAATTGTGCGCCATTCTGTCTGTAATGGTCAGTTGCGAGATGACGTGTTCTGACGTTGACGTACACGTCGATCGAGTTAATCCCATAGGTGTTCGATTGGTTTGAGATCTGGAGATCTCGACGACCAGGGCAAGTCGTTGATGTTGATATTATGAGGTTGTCTACCGTGGCACGAACTGTCCCCCAAATCAGGACACTACCGACACCGAAACTGTCGAATTCACGTTCACAATGTGGAGCAAAACGCTCATTTTAACGACGATAAACACGTTGTCTTCCATCACACCGGTGAAGAAGAAATCGTGATTCATCGCTAAATCACACTCGTCTCCAGTTTCTTAAATTCCAAGGCTGTAAGCTATGGCACCAACGCAAGCGTCGCTGTCGATGGATCTGTTGCAGAACAGGGTCGATAACTGGTCTTCTGGGTCGGATTCCAGACTCGCGAAGATGGTTCCTGACAGTCTGGTCCGATATCCTCCTCAAACTAGGGATGTGTGCTGTAATCTCCTAGCTGTGGCATTGCGATGACGTAGATGGAACAGTCGATTGTAGTGATCCTGTGCAGGGGTGGTAACTCTTGGTCTGCCGGTTCTCGGACGGTCTGCAGTGGAGTTAAACTGTGTGTATCTGCCACAAAGGCGGCAAATGGTGCTGGGTGGACGTTGAAGTGGGGTGCAACAGAAGACTGCGATTCCCTCTTTGGTTACGTCCTATAGCGATGTTCCGATCGGCAGCGCTGAGTCTCGGCATTTTCGAACTTGAAAAATGTTGACAATTGAATGACAAATTATTGGCTTATGCTTGCCTTTTTATAGCCCCTGCCACGAGTTACGAATGCCATAACGTGTACGTGCATTTTGCTTAACTGTTTTCCTCCATGACATTTTTGGACAAGAGTGAAAATAATAACGTTTAAGACATTGCAAATCTTCAATGGCCGCGTTTTGACGCACCGTTTGTCGAATATCAGGCCACCAACATTTTCCAATAACATATATCCAATTTATATACCGGATTCTTTGTGTAGTCAGGTTCAATGAACTACATACTACCTGTGCGTTTCTTTTTTTGAAGAGTGTATAGGTTTCAGAAGGTTTTTATCAGCGAATGATTTGTGTACATTTGTTAAGACTGTTACGCAAAAGGGGACAATGTGACACGTACCATTTAAAACGCACTTCTTATGCATATGTCCTTTCGGTATAACAGTTCGCTTTGTGGTATGTACAGGCCACACGCGATGCATGTAATGTCTGCATACGAGACGAACGTATGCTCTTAACTTATTTTCAATTTTTCAATTGTATATGCATAGATTGTCAAGCAGAAGGGGTTACTTCAATGACACGTCAAGAGGTACATATCAATTACGTATACTCAGAACACGGCAACTACCGAGTCAAAGATCTTTTTAAACGTTGTGAGCAGTCACGCCCTTCACTGTAATGGTCCCAAAAACATTATTCATTAACAGGAAGGTATTTTTAAAGGTGTAAAGCACAAAGATATACTTACCCATGGCATATCATTCCTTTCGACCGTTCGTATCGATTTTCTTATTTGTATTTTCCAGGGAGGAAAAGTTTATGAACACCTTTAACCAGTTAGAATAGTATACAGTAAACTACGGTTATAACGAACACGCTTATAACGAACTGACGGATATAACGAACTTACTTTTTAGTCCCGACTATTTGCTGTAGTTATGCTGTATATATGCTTATAATGAACTACGGTTATAACGAACTAAAAATAGTAGTCCCTTTGAGTTCGTTATAACCGTAGTTTACTGTACAAGACTTTAGCAACATTCGAAAACAGCACAACGCACGTTGCACGCCGCCCGGTTGCACAATCAGCAATCAGCCAGGTACGCAATGCTATCACCTGGTCCTTACTCAACTACCAGACCAAAAAAATATGCACTTGTAAATTAGATGTTATCAAAAAGTTACAAACGTTATCAAAACGTTACCAGGCTGGAAATGATCGGCGAAAGACTGCAAACTTCACAAATACATCACCATCGAATAACCATTTCTTGTTTGTTTCATTTTTTGCAACCATCAAACATGGGTGTATACTTTCTTTTGCCGACCATGTATGTGTCTCTCCGGATGCCTATCCCACCCCAGATACCCATTGCGGCTTTCAAAGATAAACCTTGATAAACTAAAATTTTACAGAACACACCAACTCACTGTTACTTACTCCTGTTGAATCGTCCTTCAACCTTCTGAAACATGTCTGTCCTTGTAATCTTATATTATCCTGTTTGGCAGAAGATTTTCAAATTTGGGGCGGTAGGATGGCCTTGTGGTTAAATCGTTTGCTCGCCATGCCTAAGACCCGGGTTCGATTCTCGACATGGGAACAATGTGTGAAGCCCATTTTGGGTGTCACCCGCCGTGATATTGTTGGAATATTGCTAAAAGAGGAGTAAAAACTCCCTCACTCACTCATTTTCAAATTGTGTCATAGAATTAATACATACATCCATGGAGGACAGACGCGTATCATGTTCTGTGTCTCTGAATCTGTTGCGTCGTTCCATCAGGTGCGCTGTCTTGTCGTTACCACTGACGCCTACATATACATGCAGTCTGAATTGGGTGCATTGATTTTATTTTCTGTATAACCTGGATATAAACAATGGACTGAGTTTAAAGTAAATACAAACCACACCTACGTAAACGCACACGCACACGCACACGCACACGCACACGCATACGCACACACATACGCACACACACACGCATACGCACACGCACACGCACACACATATGCACACGCACACACATACGCACACGTACACACATACGCATACGCACACGCACACGCATACGCACACGCACACATACACATACGCATACGCACACGCAGATACATACGCATACGCAAACGCACACGTAGACACATACGCACTCGCACATATATACGCACACGCACACACATACGCATACGCACACATATACGCACACGCATACGCACAAGCACGTCTTATGTGATTGCCTGTTTTCAATGTTGATTATTTGATATAGACACACGTACACGTCCACTGGTGAACTTACTTAAATTTGAAACGTGATGAAGTAGAAGTCATGTGATCTAGATACATTCATGCACACAATGCGAATTTCGAGCCAGGATTGGTCATAATTCAGCCCCAGTCGTCTGTCCCTCATGTCTGTTGTAAGATTGAAATGGAAATTGTTAGTTTCTTTCATTTGCATGTCTTCATGTCCCATTGGCCATGGGGTGGTGGTTCTTTTGTCGTGCATCAAATGAGACTCGAAAATGTTTTTACATATAACTTGGATATGGCATACTGTGTTGTTCACTGTTCGATACAACCGGATTAGATCATGTACAAACCTAAAGTTGACCAGTTGGCTGACCTATCACCGCAAAGAAGACACGGTATCAGTGCTACAAATTTTGTGCTTACATGTGATTTTGTCTTGATATTAAAAATGATCTAGTTAACACAGTGAGTGAGTGAGTGAGTGAGTGAGTGAGTGAGTGAGTGAGTGAGTGAGTGAGTGAGTGAGTGAGTGAGTGAGTGAGTGAGTGATCGAGTGAGTGATCGAGTGAGTGATCGAGTGAGTGAGTGAGTGAGTGATCGAGTGAGTGATCGAGTGAGTGATCGAGTGAGTGAGTGAGTGAGTGAGTGAGTGAGTGAGTGAGTGAGTGAGTGAGTGAGTGAGTGAACATTTACGTCGCTGTCCGCAATAATATAGGTGTGGAAAGTTGACTCGACTTTAATCCATATGCTTATGATAGAAGCGGAGTCGTACAAAGGATTCGGCTTTCAGTAGACATTTCTTATGGAAATGATAATGTCGCTATACCATGTTGGACAGCGTGAGCAATTACCCACACCGTTGGTGTACGATGACAACTCATTCGTCAGACCACATTTTAACAATCTGAGCACCAAAACTTTTTCCGAAAATCACAAGGAACTGAAAACGATTCATTGAAACAACTCATGATTTATCTTTCAGGTCTTCAAAATTTTGAAAAGCATGAGACCCGGGAGATCTTTATCATGCTTAGTAGTGGTGGATTTTATCGTCAAACTTAATATCATTATTTGCTCCACAACGACAACTCCAGACATCGGACCTGTGTCGGATGCGACAGTCACAACCCCCGAGCCTATCTGCAGGAGCGACACCTGTCTGAACAATGGCACTTGCCGGGAACTGGACGACTGGGAGTGCAGCAATAATCCAGATATGTTGCCGTCCGTTTGCGTGTGCTCCGAGAGCTTCACAGGTACCGACGAGCGTTGATTGATAAGTTCTAAGCCTCACATAGAAGGAATTGGGCAGAAGTGAAATCTGTTGGTGTGGACATTACATGGTGTCATAGAGGCATATCCGCACAAAAAACTTGAGTCAAATTGTTTTTGCTCTGACAAGTCAGTTAAATATGCAGGGGTCATTGACTTATGGAATATGGACAAAATGAGGAACAGGCGTTAGGACGACGGTTCATGCTTTTAGAGGTAGCAGAGATAGGGCACAATGTTAAGATGTAATGATTGATGTCAGATCTGTAGTGAGATGCAGTTGTAGCCCCAACAGAAAAATAATACTTGCAATTCAATTAGTTGCACCATAGGGTTTGTTTGTCTGTTTGTTTGTTGTTCAACCCCGCACTCAGCAATATTCCAGCTATATGATGGCGGTCTGTAAATAATCGGGACTAAACCAGACAGTGATTGACATCATGAGCATAGATCCACGCAATTGGGATACGAGGACATGCATCAACATAGTCAGCGAGCCTGACCACCCGATCCCGTTTGTCGCCTCTAACGACAAGCATAGTCACCTTTCACGGCAAGCATGGGTTGCTGAAGACCTATACGGATCTTCACGGTTGCGCCTTAGTGACAGGAGACGGAACATTTATTGTTCTTGCTCTGATATATTGTTGTTCTTGTATGGTGGTAATATTGTCAGGTGAAACACCTTCACGATCATGACCAGAGGAAGTACATCATACATGAGTCTACAGCCATTGTGTTTGTAGTTGATGTCTCTGAGTTCTCGGAGTTACGGTGGTAGTTCCAGGACTATTAGTAGTTGTAGTTATTGTGAGTCGTCGTTGTTGCAATGGTAACATTGATTGGAGTTTGTGCGTGAAGACAATACCATCTTCAACTGACCATGTTTCATAATTGTAGCGCCACATGAACTCTAGTGTTGTGTTAGAAATAATTCTTAGTCTCTAAAAATGATGATTTGTGAACTACAGGTGCTCGGTGTGAATTCAGCATCAGATGTGGAGGGGCAAGATGTAAAGACAACGAGCAGTGCACGCTTGATCGGTGTATCGTCACCAGTGCAGGTACGACCACGAGGACCCTTCTGTAGAAACACACCGTTAAAATAATCTTTTCTGTTTTTCTTTAAACTTTGATCAGTCTTTTTCTTCACTGATCTTCCATTCGGCAGAAACTGGATCCCAGAGGTACGGAAGCGTAGTGGGGCCACGGTGATTTTTTTGTCTTACAATCTTTTACGTAGGACTTAGTAACTCCTATGTAGGACTTAGTATGGTCTAGAATTACTATCTCCTACGTAGGACTTAGTATCTCCCACGTAGGACTTAGTATGGACTAGAATAACTATCTCCTACGTAGGACTTACTATCTCCTACGTAGGACTTACTACCTCCTACGTAGGACTTAGTATGGCCTAGAATTACTATCTCCTACGTAGGACTTAGTATCTTCTACGTAGGACTTAGTGTAGACTAGAATAACTATCTCCTACGTAGGACACAGTATCTCCCACGTAGGACATACTATCTCCTGCGTAGGACTTACTATCTCCTACGTAGAACTTAGTATGGCCTATAATTACTATCTCCTACGTAGGACTTAGTATCTCCTACGTAGGACTTACTATCTCTTACGTAGGAGATAGGAGGTCCTACGTAGGAGATACTAAGTCCTACGTAGGAGATAGTAAGTCCTACGTAGGAGATACTAAGTCCTATGTAGGAAATACTTAGACAAAAAAAACATTTCACCATGGCCCTACTACGTTTCCGTACAGAGGTGTTTAACTGACAAATTCAAACTGCCATGTTCGAATCCTTTTCAGCAATTGTTCTGATGTTTACAAAAGTTATGAAACGTCTGGATCAGCTCACCCTCCTCCGATGGGCCATTCTCACTCACACACTAAACGAAATAATAATGTGGTCAATGAATTCATATGATCACAGTTATTTTGGGTTGATGTTCATTTGTATAATGATTTCATCTCTATAACTCGAAATGGTGAGCTCGTCAGATGTAAACGTTACGGCTGCGATATGTTTTGACACCATCTATATTGGATATCCCCACAAAACACACGATATACATGTCTTTAATGTCAATAAACCTTCCCTGTATGGAGGAATGTTGTTTTACACCGTAGGATTCCTGCGTTATCGCGGCGGTCATTCGATAATCGTTTTCTAGCATCCCAAATGTATGATGATCCACGCCATGGAAGTACAGCCATAATTTCTAGATCTATAAAAACCGTAATGCGTTGAAAATTCAACCAGATTAAGTTCCTTGATTAGTTGGCAATACAACCAGTGTTCTTGGAATTTTACTCACTTTCCTCACACGCACATGTAAAACTGAGAGGCCTTGACTGAAATACTGTTTTAAGCTGTGACACCCTCAACTCACTCACCACTTTAATCGACTCGTATGTTTCAAGAGTCGCCAGCTCCTGTTTGCAAAAAAGGAGTCCACCCCGTCACTTACCAGCTCGACATCCACGACAGGAGGAAGCCTATAGTGTGTCTAGACATGTACTACACGACCAACTACTCATACTGCTACGACAACGACGACTCTATCGAGTTCGAGATTGTTGAAGAAGAGGAGTTGAATCTGTTTTGTCTCAATATTGACTACCGGCAATGGCAAACCTGTCTCCACGTCAACGGGACATTCAACGAGGGTAATTTTCCACTAAAACCTATTTTGAACGTAAGTACGATTGTCTTGTGATCAATAAAATACAGTGTTCTCTTTTTATATTTTATATACATGTAGATATAGGAAAACATAAAAAACAAAAACGAATAAAACGCAACAAAACCATTTCCATATTCAGTTGTACGATTCAGACTATATCATAAGCGAATAATGTAGCCGTTATGGTGAGGTGAGGTGAAATAGGGTTTAACGTCGCGTCAAAGATTATTGCACTTAAATAGCGACGTGCATGTACGTGTGTGTGTTTGTGTGGCTGCTTGTACTAGTCCGGACTGATGCCGATTTATAGTGCTAGCTCACTGAGATACCATGCCGCAGTTTAACATGAATATACCACTCAGACACAGTATACTGACTCCGAGCCGACCAGTCCTTGTTTTAGCCCCTTAATGCCGAGCGCCAGACAGGGTAACAACAAGTACCATATTTTAACGTCTTTTGGTATGACGCGGCCGGGAATCAAACCCTGGACCTTCCGCTCTCCGGGCGGACGCTCTACCACTAGACCAAGGAGGCGGTGTATCCGTTATGAATCTAAAGTACAGTTGAAAATGGCGTTAAACCATATACAGTCACTTTCACGTATGTTGATGGCCCTTTATTAACCTATTGTATTGTAGGTATCTCTCCTATCTCATAGTAACCTTGTGAGAGGTACTACTTTCAAGTGAGATCTGCTCAGAGGTTTTACATTTGAATTGTAAGACCTGGTTTTACAATTGACGTTTTATAAACTTCACTTTTGATATGAATATAATGATGATTTTTCATTGGTTAAAAGTCACAATTATTTTTACATGACGTGAATCGAACCTGGACCTTCACATATCCTGTTAAGTTTTGTAACCCGCTGTTTTCCACTGACCCACCGGGGTACGTGATGAAAGGTTGTTCAATTTACATGTCATGACTTTAGTTCTCTCGCACGCTTTGATTGAATTCCTTTTATACGGCATCCCGATGTTTTCGTAATTTTCTGTATTTCTTGATTTTAGACGGTTCATTTTGGACCGCCTCCGTGGTCTAATGGTAGAGCGTCCGCCCGGAGAGCGGAAGGTCCGGGGTTACGTTAAAAGGTGTTACCCTGTCTGGCGCTCGGCATTAAGGGGCTAAAGCAAGGACTGGTCGGCTCGGAGTCAGTATACTGTGTCTGAGTGGTATATTCATGTTAAAATGCGGCATGTGAGCTAGCACTATAAATCGGCATCAGTCCGGACTAGTACAAGCAGCCACACAAACACATACACGTACATGAACGTCGCTAAATAAGTGCAATAATCTTTGACGCGACGTTAAATTCCATTTCACCTCACCTCACCCGGTTCATTTTGACGGATCATAAGTTGGATAAAACACTACTTTCCAGTTTTGGTTGAAAATGTAAAACGACGAGTTCGGGAAAGACCCAGGGCCTACCGCCCTTGCGCATTTCTCTCGCCCGCTTAAATTTTCAGCCAAAGCCTCGGTGTCATGTTTTATCCTAAACGGGTTCATTTCCTTATTCATAAACTGTACATCCATTAAATAATAATAATAATAATAATAATAATGATGATGATGATGATAATAATAATTAATAATAATAATAATAATAATAATAATACGACTTCCTCAGCACAGATTCCCAAACACCCATTACTCATCTCCTTTACATGGATTATTGCTAATGTCATCGTATCCCAAATTGCTTGGCTCGATGATCATGATGTCAATCAATGGATTGTCTGGTTACAGACCGCCGTCATATCGCTGCAATGTTGCTGAGTGCGACGTTAATCAACAAACAAAACAACATATATCACGATTTTTGTAATAAACGTCGATATCCTTCAAACCTACAGGTCCCAATTTACCAAGACCACCTTAATCAGTTGAGCCTGTTTTCAGAAGGTGTAAAATACACAATTAATCATATAACTTCAAGATGTGTGGTGAGGTGAAATAGGGTTTAACGTCGCGTTCAAGATTACTTCATTTACATAACGCCGTGCATATTGTGCGTGTGTGCGTGTGCGCGTGCACGTGTGTGTTTGGCTGCTTGTACTAGTTCGGACTTGTACCACGGCCTGGAGATCGAACCACGGACCTCCCGCTCTCACCACGATATTGACGTACCACCGGTGGGGCAGGATTCGTTCACCTGTTCGCGAACACCTCGTATCATCACTATTTGACAGTGATTTATTAACCCATGTAACCTTAAAAAAGTCGGAATCGTCCAAGTGACTGAAAGTACATATTTCATATTTTCTTATTTATATATGTAATAACGTAATGGAAATTAAGCCCATGCTACGATTTTTTTACATTTTGTTTTACAAGGAATGAGTTCATTTTCTTTTTATCACAGCATGGTGAACATCCTGAGCAATAGTTTTAAGCTGTTTGCTACTTGTTACAGACAGTACTATGTGAAACAGATGTGAGGATGGGTAGTCTGTAAAAATGTAAAAACTTCGGACATAATTTTTTTTTTAAATTCATAATAATTGTTAGATATGAGAATAACGTGACATTGATGTTTGCATTATTCAGAGTAAAACATGTTCTGATGTTAGCCGTTCCATGAAAATTACTTTTATTGAACAAAAGGTCATAGAATCCCGATCGGAATTGATCAAGGGACTGAATGGTTTTCTTTACACTGACATATAAGAATTATCATTGTAGATTATAAAGAAATGTAGATACGTATATGTGCAAGAGCTATTTTACCATGTCTGTTGGTGGCGTATTTGAAGAAGTCATTGACATAGAATGTTTGGCAAGACGACATGTGTCGGATTTTTGAAACTTTATTCACCAACATTACATTTTTGAAATGGAAATGTTTTCAGGTGACATTACAAGCCAGGGAGTACAACATGAATCCACAGCACGATTCTATAGTGTTTTCGGTAACATTCAACGAAGCCCCAGATGTGACCACACCACGTCGGGTATACATGTTGAACGTGGCTGAAGATGTTAGTCCCTATACCATCAGTGTTGAACAGGCCTTCAATGTGACCGATCATAACGCCTTGACGTACACATATAAAGGTAACGTCTTCAAACATTTTTTTTTCATATTTTTTTTTTCTGATTTATGTTGATCGAACTAAGGAAGAGGTATGGTATGGGCATTTTGTCCCCACTGGAAATGTGCAAAATGTAAAACATGGGAAACATTTTTCAAACGGTTATCAGATATTTACAACTAGCTTTTTTGGCTATGACTGGCACGTTTTGGACTTATTATGTGAAAAGACATAGATATCTACAGCTTAGCCTCGTTACTGTATGTTCGAAATACTGCTGATGTAAAGTTAAATTTTAACTCATTCACCATATTTAACCATAAGTATGTCAGTGACCTACGGGGATGTTTTCACCATGTTTTTGATACCAAAATGAGCTTAGGTTTATGAAAAACGCGGTAAACCAGGTATTTTTTGTAGACTGAGCCATATTTCTGATTTGGTCTGTTATTATTTGAAAACCTGCAAGTGTTGAAATGACCCGTACATGGTTAGTCCACTATCGTATTGGGGGCACGTGTGGCCTAGTCGTCTAAGGCGCCGCAATTCGTTGTGCAGAGTTGCGTCCCTTGGGCATGCCAGAAACCTATGATTGTGGGTTCGAATCCTGGTTGGCCCCGAATATGTTTCTAGGTTTGTCAGCACCATACCCGTGCTCGTGGGTTTCACGAGTGGTAAACGTCTGAGACCTGCATCACTTCGGGCTTTCCTCCCACATTAAGCTGACACGCCGTGATATAACTGGAATACTGTTAAAAGCGGCGTTAAACCGGCGTATTAACGCTGTTTCAGTCCTGGTGGTCAATAAAAAAACCTTACCATTTCGCACACTTTCTTGTAGTCTTGCTATAGATATGTCAATCTGAGTTAATATCATACACCTGTAATGCTAACATTGTTTTGTGTAAGGGGCCAGGCCGTTAATGGTAAACGTGGAGACCGACTAACCTCGTCGTCTCTTCAGAAATCGTAATTGGTTAAGCTGTAATAATACTTAGGCTATTGACGTGACGATCGAGGACTGCTGAATAGAGCATACACACGTTCACCATGTGAATATTGTTTCAGCACAATAAGCAGTTTCCGATCAATGTTAACATGGTTCGCAATAACCAGGGAGTCTGTATAAGTTTTACATGATAGGGTCCCTGGCATAAGAGATAAACAGTACCTCAGTCTGACTGTATCGTGCATTTAGAAAAAGGTTGCATTAATGATTGTTTTGACTGATGAGATTATTTAAAAAAAATAATATTATGAGACTTGTGAATGTTATCAAAGTTGTACTATTGTTGATGCAGCTTATCAACTGCCAATGACTCACTGAAGAACGGGAACTCCAATCTCGAGGAAGCCTCTGTGCCTAGCTTTTTCAGAGCACTTTATTTTAAGGATCAGTTTTGTCTTGTACCCAACCATCCCCAATTACTCGTTAAAAAAACTTAAACCTTTATTCATTCAGATTGTCTAGACATTTATATTCTTATCATACAAATTGATCATTGTTTTCTGTTGCTAGGCAACCGTCCTGGTATATCCATAGACAGAGTGAAAGGGCAACTGATGTTTGATTTCCAAGTTGGCATTATTTCAATTGACATAGAGGTACTACATTATTAAGTGTTCATATTTTATGTTGATATGTAGTGATGGATATAGTTTACCCATGGTCCATGATGTCTTGCGAATTTTGTGAAATACAAGATACATGAAGTCTTTAAAAGGCAATGAGATGTGTTGCACATAAGGAAGAGAATTTCCTTTATTATGAGGAGCACAACGTTTCGGAGTATATACCTACCCCTTCATCGTGTGAATGTTCGTGTTCTTCATAATAAAGACTTTGACACCCATAAATTCTCTTCCGAATGTGTACTCGTATCACTTCTAATTGCCTTTTCAGACTTGATACGACATAAATATGGAGATGCAGTACATTCACCTGATGAAGGAGTATGTATATACTCCGAAACGTTGTCCCTCATAATATAGAAGTTGACATCCATACATTCTCTTCCTTACAAGATCCATTTTGTGTCTGATGACACAGTGTAGGAGCCGAACGTTCAACTTGATCATATATTCCTCTTCGTGCATGCTTCTCTTGTACAAAGAATTACATTTGGCTTTACAAATATCAAACTGTCACGTCGTGAAATTCTTTGTGAAGCCCATCCCCTCCTTTGTCACACATTCCTTCTCATCTAGATCAAGGATGACGGTATTCCGAGCTTGGAAACACTCGTCAATGTCCAAATAGAAGTTGTGCGCTTAAGCTGTGGCATCGATTCTCCCTTGTACGCCAATTACAGAAACATGAAAGGAATTGTTGGCAAATTGAAATGTGACACCAGCGACGGGTTTGAAATATCAGATCTCCGCACAAGCTACACAGTGACTGGAGGTAAGATGTGGCAAAGTATAACAAAAGTGTATTGCTAATGATGATGGTGATGATGATGATGATGATGATTAGATCATGATAAGGAGTTTATGGCTCTTTACGGATTGATCAGTCGTCTAACTGTGGTATCGGTATGTCGATTTGGATCATAATGAAAGTCCCAACCTTATAATTTACAACTGCAGAATTTTAAATAAAAATATCTAGACACTTCGTCGTTACTTTACACGTGATGGCACGTGGTCCTGTTCACAGTGCACGGATCACAAATCAGGTGACGTTTAGCAACGTCGGTCTCGGAGAGTAGTTGGGTGGCGTGTTCGGCAGCTTGACTCCTGAGAGTTTCTAGGACTTCGGTCCTGTCTCACACTGAAGCACATGTAGCACAGTAAACTGTCTCCGAGTCGACCAATCCTTGTTTTAGCCCCTTAATGCCGAGCGCCAGACAGGGTAACAACAAGTACCATCTTTTAACAACTATTGGTATGACGTGGCCGGGGAAGGAACCCCCGACCTTCCGCTCTCCGGACGGACGCTAAACTGCTAGACCACGGAGGCTGTCCTATTTGATCATGTAGTATTGGTTACTCTGAATTTTGTCTGTATTGTTATAAACTGAACCGCAAAAGAAACGTCACTTCAAGCAACCCTGCATGAAAAGTTGTCATTTAATTATCTGGGTAATTTTTGTCAAAGTTTCTAAAATTTAACATTACCTTGTCCGGAAATAATTAAATTTGATGATACAAAATCAAAGCACATGACAATAAAACCGATCGCCCAAACGCATCACGACAACGGCAATGGTAACCCGATGCACGTGAGTTCCGTGCAAATTGAAATGCACATGCGTTCCCACATTTTGTGCCCTATAAAAATCCACCCAAATCGGATAACATTCATTCGTTATTGAATTGCTACCACATGCCAAGATTGACAAGAAATCAGCGACACCAAGCCCTTGGACGATTGCAAGTAGCCAATGCATTTCACGTCCACGTAAGGACCATATACAGGCTCCGGCAACGGTACCAGACCACCAACACTACAGATGACCGACCACGTAGTGGAAGATCAAGGGTCACCACCCGACGTCAGGATCGTCAGATTGTGCGACAGCATCTTCAAGATCGCTCTGTTTCTGCTGCGGAAACTGCTCGACAGACCATTCGGACACACCAGCGACACATTAGTGCGGACATCGTGCGTCGACAGACGTCGTGCAGACAACTCCACTGCACTGTCACAGGCCACGCCGAGGACCAATTCTGACATCGCCGACCGGGACCGTCTTCAGTAGGCAACACAGCACCAGCATTGGCACCACCAGCAGTGGAGAAGGGTCCTCTTTCTGTATCTGTAAGAGCAATTACTGTATATCAACATTGATCAAGTCTTAAGACCACACGTCATACCTCATTTGGCACGTCGCCGCAACCACGAGTTTCAGCATGATAACGCCCGTGCCGACACTGCGAGAGCAAATAGAGACTTCCTCCAGCAGAATGGCATCAGATTCATGCAGTGGCCTGCCTTCAGTCCCGATTAAAATCCCATTGAGCACCTGTTGGACGGGATTCAAAGACGGCTGAATGACGGCCGACAACTGTAGGTGAACTGCATCAGGCGTTCCTCAGGGTGTTGGCCCAAATGCCTATGGCCTTCATCAACCGCTTCATCCATTCCCTGTATCGACGCTGCACGGCAGTCATCAATGCACATGGCGGACACACGAGATACTGACTTGTGATGCCATTTGCTCAGAGGCTAGTGTTGTGTTTCAATTTAAGAACATTAGACACTTTAATTTTAACCTTGATCAGTTTTACCAAGTGTCATTCTTTTAATATGTCTCAAAGTATGTTTACAATGTTTGGACAACGAAGGTTTCTCATATATCTATCCATGGTGACGTTTCTTTTGCGGTCTAGATTATAATAAACAAACATAGTATTTTGTACATAAAGTTATTTCTAGTTTGAATACTAGTTAGATTGAAATGTTTTAGAAAGAAGGCTTTTGTTCATAGACGGAGCGTCCAGGTTCATTTCAGGAGCTGGTTATCCATTAGATTCATTGCTTATCGATGCCGATTCAGATCTTGAGCTGGAAATCACGCCTAACGGTTTTCTGAGACTCATCAATGGTTCACTGGGGAATCACAACGTATCAACAACTATCACCCTGGTCAGGGAGTCCGGCGAAGCCACTGTTTACGTTGACTTCAGCATTCTTATAGGTAGGTGGTTTTGCCTTGAATCTTTTTAAATAAAATATGTTGTAACGTTGCTCCGTAAATAATAAAGAAGAGCTTTTTTTAAGAGTTTACTATAGTTCATGGTTCTAATCGTTTTCGGGAGTAATAATGTTCGATGTTTCCTATATCTGTGTGTTACATTTGCTATATCGGAACTATGAACTAATGTCATTTGCGAATAACTTTATGTTCCTGACACAGCTTAAAACTGCATGAAGCAAATAACTGAACAGACAGTATAGTACACGAGTATTAATTAAGATAAAGATAAACAAGATGAAAGAAAACTAAAGCCAACAATAACTTGTATAACCCTGAAAAGTTAGATACAACAAAGTTGTTAAAAATAGAAAAAGCTGAATGAAATCCGAGACTTGATATCATGTATGCTTGTTCCACCATCTTCGGAATGTAATCCGAGACTTGATATCATGTATGCTTGTTCCACCATCTTCTGAATGTAATCCGAGACTTGATATCATGTATGCTTGTTCAACCATCTTCTGAATGTAATCCGAGACTTGATATCATGTATGCTTGTTCCACCATCTTCTGAATGTAATCCGAGACTTGATATCATGTATGCTTGTTCAACCATCTTCGGAATGTAATCCGAGACTTGATATCATGTATGCTTGTTCCACCATCTTCGGAATGTAATCCGAGACTTGATATCATGTATGCTTGTTCCACCATCTTCTGAATGTAATCCGAGACTTGATATCATGTATGCTTGTTCCACCATCTTCTGAATGTAATCCGAGACTTGATATCATGTATGCTTGTTCCACCATCTTCGGAATGTAATCCGAGACTTGATATCATGTATGCTTGTTCCACCATCTTCTGAATGTAATCCGAGACTTGATATCATGTATGCTTGTTCCACCATCTTCTGAATGTAATCCGAGACTTGATATCATGTATGCTTGTTCCACCATCTTCTGAATGTAATCCGAGACTTGATATCATGTATGCTTGTTCCACCATCTTCTGAATGTAATCCGAGCCTTGATATCATGTATGCTTGTTCCACCATCTTCTGAATGTAATCCGAGACTTGATATCATGTATGTTTGTTTTCTGACAGCCTACATTAGGACGGCAGTATTCTCGCTTAGCAAGAAAACATGGATCCCTGCCTACGGCGTTCAGTCGTCGTCAGACTTCTCAGCTCTCAGATCTGAAGTAACACAAGAGGTAAATAGAAATGACAGGGTGACATTTTGGAAATTCATCTTAAATGACACTACAGAGTTATAGTATTACCTTTCTCCCTTTCTTGCAGATTAAAGATGAACTCAATAAACTGCCAGATCTGATGGTCAATGTTGAGTTGTTCAGGTGAGCGAACACATTTTACATTGCATAACACACCATGGTAGAGACATCCTCATTGTATAACACACTATTGAATAGAACACTTCATTGCATTACACACTATTGATAAGAACTAATCATTGCGTAACACTATTGCAGAGAACCCATTATGCACTACACACTATTGAATAGAACACATTATTGCATAACCCACTATTGAAGAGAACTCATTATTGCATAATACACCATTGAAGACAACATATTATTTCCTAACTTACTATCGCTGTTAAACAATTATATTTCATATATGCTAACGGAAAAAAGTAAACGTGCTTCATATAAATTTAAAAAAAATATATTTTGAACTTTAATAATGCATCTGTCAATATATATTCATGAAGACATCTCCTCGACTTTTAAGTTCGAAAAAAATAACTTTCTTAAAAACGGTTAAAGAGCCTTACAAAGTACATATTTACACCAAAGAGATTTATATGTGATTTCATTGTTATCTAAAAGCAACTGCCCTGACCCCACAGCTATCGCGCATACATATTGAAATCCAAGCTGGGGGCCAATCTGTAGCTGTGGCATCATTGTGGAGAGACGTCCGCCAACGTTGACGTTTGGGTGTACTATTTCATTAAACAAAATACCAAGTGTCATTTCTTGAAATGACCAAGCAGAAGGCCGATTTAGTTTGGGTAAAGCGAAGTAAGCGAGGAGGAAAATGGAAACCGACTGGACAAGCCATTCTGTGATTCTTGCATCTGTCTATGAGAGAGATCCACAGACACTAAACGAACTTGGTTACGAAACTAACTTTAGCATTCATTGTTACATATAACCTATGACTCACTACCCCGTACAACAATTACAAAGGACCATGCACATTGATGAGATAACATGCTAGAGTTAAATGTTTGGCACAATTTTGGTGCACATTCAGTTCGTGGTCTTGCGTTCTTGAAACCCTTGTCTGATTCTGCAGGATAAGTGAAAACATATCAAAATATAATATATAAAGGAAACTCTTGCGTAAACCATTAAATTTTAATAACTGTTGAATCTGCATACCAAATACTGTTTTATAAGAGTCCCGCATACCACATCGCTGAGTACTGAATACCCTAAAAATAGACCGCTGAATCCCGCGTGCCATTTTTGGTTCTATAAACAGGACTTGATGTTGAGAATCTTCTGTGTGCACAGTATCTGTAAACCCTGAAATTAATTGAGTCCTTATTTTAATTTATTTTATAAAACACGTTAATACTCACACCATTATATACACATGTAAAAACAGGACGTATGATAGATGTCTTATAATTAGACATGAAAAATGAAAAGTAAAAAAATATCGATCATATGTATTTGTCTCGGGTGTGATGTTACGATAAATGTCAATGTAGAACCAAGTATTTATGGGTCAGTTTTATTCAATATATGTTTAGTATCGATAATTAATCATCAGAGGCGGATTCAGTTCAGTTTGTTTTTTCAGCAAACAATGATTGTTTAAATACGTTCACGCTAAGCTGAAAATAAACGTCTGTACGCTGCAAACGGGAATGGCGCAAAACGAAGTTGCTAAGCATCTTAATGTTCATCGCAAAACAATGTCATCTCTTTGGAGACGTTATCTAGAGCAGGTCAACATTCATACCTTGCAAGGGGACACAAGACGACCACCGTATTCAGTTGGTGCATTTTCGTAATGGATACCAAACTGCCAGATGAACAGCTCGGCCCCAACATCCAGCAATACGCCAAATGTTGTTTCCACGTCACCGTCAGGCACGCCTAGCTTGGTGTAGACAGCATCTGGGGTTTGGAATACAAGACGTGGACAGTACATTGTTCACAGGAGAGTCCAGGCTTCATCTGAACACCTTTCATGATTATGGCTGTTGTCAGTCATCTGACCAGTTGTAACACCAACCCCTTTGTATGGCGTGTCGCCCTGTCGCCAGATCTGGATTTTGTCAATCAATTTAAAACATTGATCAGACGAATGACCCAATGTCATGTTGTTATTTTCAAGAACATAACACTTTCACCACTTAATTTGAAGCACAATTACATTTTTCCGTCATCATAGCATCGATAGATTGTTGATAGCACACCCTACACCAATCTGAATACATTGTCACTGCATTCGAATAGTTCCTGAATCAAATAATACAATGCTTGAATGAAATAATGGTAAATGTGTATAGCTTTATGCAGAGATTTCTGTTGGATATGGCAAAGGTTTTGTCGCTTTATTTGATAGTAAACGGTGACACTGAAAACGCTTTCCTCGTGACCTTTCAAAAATAAACTGGGCGGCAACAGAAAGTATAGTCGAGTTCCATGATCGATTATAAAAATAACAAGAAGAGTTTTTGTTGTGAATTATAATATAATCTAGGGAGGTGTAACAAATGATTGATCAACCAGAGTTTGAAGGAAATTGTGCAATCACAGGTAATGTAAGCTCAAGGTAAACAATTTTAATTTTCAAAAGTTGTCTGAAATGTCACCAAAAACTTGTCAGACACACTACAAGTTCATTGTCGACAAAATTGCCTTCAATAGCGTGTATGACCTCCAGCTGCCCCAATGCATGCTGTGATACGCCGCCTCATCGATGACGTCAGTCTTCTGATGACGTGGACTGGACTCCGTTGTCACTCGTCTCTCAGGGCCTGCTGCAATTCTTGTCTGTTGACGGGAGGCTGATGGCGTGCTCTAATCTGTCTGTCAAGATGGTCCCACAAATTTTCAACAGGATTCATATCTGGTGAGTGGGCAGGCAAGGGCAAAACGTCAACGTTCTGCTGGTTTAGAAAGTTCCGAGTCAGTCTTGCAGTATGGGGCCTGGCATTGTAGTGTTGAAACAATGTACCCTGCTGTTGGTTTTGTAAGAACGGAAGCACAACTGGCTGCAACACTTGGTCTCTGTACTGCACAGCGTTCAGGTTTCCCTGTATAATCACCAAATCAGTCTTCTGATCTCTACAAATACCGCCCCAGACCATGACACCTCCCCCGCCGAATGGATGGGCCTCTCGAATACATGCCGGAGCCAAACGTTCTCCTCTGCGTCGATAAACTCGTTCTCTGCCGTCATTTCGAAACATGTTAAACCGACTTTCATCAGTAAACATCACTCGACGCCAATTTCTCACTTTCCAGCGTCGAACCTGCCTCGCCCATCGCAGTCTCAGGCGTCGATGTTGAGCAGTCAGTACCATTCCTCGGAAAGGACGATACGCTCGGATTCCAGCAGCACGAAGTCGTCGTAGTACTGTATGTTGGCTAATGGGATGTCCTAACGCTGTTGCTGCCGTCGCCGTCGCCGTTACGAATCTGTTTCGCAGGTGAATGAGCCGTATCTGACCGTCTTCCAGTAGTGTTGTCACTCGGGGTCGTCCGGTTCTAGGCCTATCCTGTTTCCTCCCTGTCTGCCTGTACCGTTGAATCAGCCTGGCTACTGTCAATGGTTTTCAACCAAACCTTCTGGCAATTTGGACCTGTGTTGCCCCAATTCGGCCATACCCATGTCTCTCTCTCTCTCTCTCTCTCTCTCTCTCTCTCTCTCTCTCTCTCTCTCTCTCTCTGCCCCTGTGACAGTCGTGGCATTTCTTTTGTGTGCTTTCATCACGTGTGGTAATACCCTGCAGACGAATGCATTTATACAGCTAACATGCACGTGCAGGTTATGCCATAGGCGGGAAACCTGTTTCACCATTTTTTTTGTCACCGCACGAGCGCCGTCAAAGGTGGCGCGTTCGGGTGAGGTATTTTTGTGGTACCTGTTCCTGGGCAGTCATATTCCCAATACCCACTTTCCACTAGTTATCGCTGTTTTTAGGAAAATTACTAATTGCCAACCTAAACTTTCTTTTGCCGCTTAGTTTATGTATAAGGTTTACTCGTCCTGTCCTGTTAGATCTTATACACATATTGTGTCTATATGCAGTGAGGGTAGTGTGTACGTACACTTCACATTGTTCCTTCGAAACGAAGAAAATTCTACTTATGCCACTCAACAACTGAACGCATCTATAGCAAATAACGGCACTGTTGGAACGCTGGAAGTGAACAGAACAAGCTTCATATCCAGAAAGCAAGGTAAGATATTATTTGAATTGTAGTATATACAAATATATTCGAAAACCCCACGTAGTGGACGAGCATTCTTCGGGAAGTAATACCGTATGCTATTAAGGACCGAACATTTGATATTCTTGGTGGGGGTGTTGGCTGGAATTTTAAAGAAAGAAAAATTGTCTCCCAAAATTCTTGAAAAATATAATTTTGTATCAGACTTTGAAAAAAAGAATTGCCTGCCACAAAAATTACATTGTTGCAAGGTATTATCTTATAGGCTCATAGTTATAAATCCCCAAAATATCTGGTTTTATAGCTGTAGCTGAACAATTAACTCATCTCGATAAAAAATCCCATCGAACCCGAAATTGCCACCCGCATGACAAGTTACCCGTTGTGAGATACTCGTTGATACATGATACTTGTACCATCACCTTTCGTAACCATATCGAATACATTAGTATCGAATTACTATTTCTTAAATTGTTTCAGTTTAAGCATCCATCAAACATGGATGTATAATTACTTTTACGCGGCACATTAGTACAGAAACTAAACCTTGCTGCAGTCTGGTCTTTTGTGCCAAGCCTCAGGTTTTTACAGACATTTATGAAAATGTTTGAATTTTGCTGACTGCAAGGTTAAACAAAGACAATAAGAGCAGCCTAAGAGGGAGTGAGTGAGTTGAGTTTAACGCCGCTTTTAACATTATTCAAGTTATATCACGGCGTAGCCTAAGAGGGACAAAATGACCTACCTGTATCATATTTCAGTTGGCCTCGCCCTCATATCAAGCATGGTGTATTCAAGTCCTGGTGTACATGCAAATACACCTGAGTACACAAGGAACAACACACACGTGCAGTTGACGTGTACTGGCACCTTTGTCCAACCTGTTGGTGACGTCACCATGGAATGGCGGATGACGTCCAACAATGCACTCGTAGTACCCTTGGCCTACTCTCGCCTACAGACAAACCTCACGAGTCCTTCTACTGGTGTTTACCGCGGAACTCTGACGGCCAGTAACATCTTGTTCAGAGATACAGGTTAGTATATAATTGTGTTGACCATGATATGATATACACTCTTGGTGTCGCAGTCATGTAAAATGTGAAATTGTATTCAGATATGAATATCATACACCAGCAACCGATATGATATTTATCTCGGTGCGTATACAATCAAACTTTTGATTAATGACACAGATTTGTACTTAAATTCCCAGAATAGGTGTACAGTCAGGTGCAAAGCTCATAAAGTTGTCAGAATACTTTCTTCACTTACGTCAAACGTGTAGGCTGTAGGTGGAAACAAGATACTTTCATCTCAGAATACAGTGACACTCGACTAAAATGAGGATCAGATGGTCGCAATAGATCACAGAGTCATCGTATCAGGCATCGGTTGGCCTGGTTAAGAATCGATGGTATCCAAACGTTTGAGTTACGAATGACGTGTCCTTTGTCTTACCAATCACATTTGTTCTATTTATTTCTGTTGACTTGAGATACGCTAGAGTCCAATTGCCTTGGCTCGAGACATAGACAAAAAAGATTAATAGTCTTAGTGAATCTAAGGAGTGAGTGAGTATGGTTTTACGCCGCTTTGAGCAATATCCCAGCAATATCACGGCGGGGGTCACCAGAAATGGGCTTCACACATTGTACCCATGTCGGAAATCGAACCCGGGTCTTCGGCACGACGAGCGAACGCTTTAGCCACTAGGCTACCCGACAAATGTTAATTGTGGAGGTAACCAAGGGATGTGAAAATACAAGCAGGCAAAATCTGTGCAAAAGGTACGAGTGCAGAATAAAATCTCTCTTGCTGCAGCTCGTAAGGTTAAGTCCAATCCAACGTCATCCTTCGCTATGGTTACTCAGAATCCCGCACTGTGTCCACCTGTTACTGCTCAAGTCATCACTCTTAATTTACCGCGTCCCATCCTTGGTATTTCCCCGCAAACCATTCTAGCATTCTTGTTTGAGGTGACTGTCATATGTTTTACTGCAACTACCAAAAAAAATCAGATCAGTCGCCTTGTCTCAAAGGGAAAAAAACATCTCCAAATCGATGGGCCGTTGGTGCAACATGATGCGGCTGAATAATGGATGCCTTGGGTTTTTTGTTGCAACGGAATGCCGAAAGTCTTATTACTAATGGAAATAATTTAAAACTTTTTCTCTCTCCGCTACCATAGGTTTTGCGCAGGAAGTTTTGCTTTGCCTTGAGAGTCATTTTAGAATTAATGGTTATCATTTTCTTCGACAGGACAGAATAACAAGCAATCCGAATACCAAATAAACTTGGAGAGGTGGTTGTGCTATATTTATATATTTATTCTGATTTATCATATGGTTCACAATTTACCAAAAGCAGTGTATGAGGCTTATGCAGTAAAAAAAACATTATGTTGAAGACAAAACCATTACTATTGTTAAGAGTTTTAATACAGGTAAACCAAACGTAGATGAGTATTTGAAATTGGCTGATCCCAGTGAAGACTCATATATTTAATGTGGAGACTTAAACAGCCACAATGTGTCGTAGGGAAGTAGCGCAGCGGATTACAATGGCCAAACTGTTGAGCACATTTTGGAAGAAGCAGATCTTGTCATTTCAAATGATGGTAAAATGAACAGCTCGAATCTTGACAAATTGACCTGTTCGCCTTTAGATCTCACAGATACATCTTAATCAATAGCCAGTAAACGTAACTGGGATGTATTGGAAGAAGAAGATGCCTCAGACAGTGAGCATTCCCCAGTTTTCACTGAAATTCAGGTCCGATCACTTGTTGCTTTTTGTGATAATGTCCGTCGCTGGAAATTCAAGTAGACCAATTGGGCACTTTTTTCTGATCTTGTAAATGATGTTGTTGATATGGCTCATAAAAATGTCAACACACAAATAAATGAAATAGCAAAAGTGATCATTTGAAATCATGATCACACAATGCCATTTAGAAATTAGTAAAATGTAACAAATGTTATATTTGATATGGCACTTTCTCAGTAAAGTACGGGTTCTCGTATTTTAGAAGGTTGTGTGAAGTACGTCATGTGTGAATGGTCTCACGGCAAAATTCCCTTTGGGTTAAACATACAGAGATTATCTGCTCAACACAGTGTGTATAATTGGTACCCAGTGGATCCTTCTGGTCTGATTAGCACATCCCTGTGGTTTCTGCTCAAGTCTAATTTGAGTTCTGAACACGATTTTAACTATAAATATGACAGCAATATGAAACAAAAGCATTACCTCAAGACTTTCTGTCGCATATGAACTGATGCATTAATAGAGTCATCCAATTATCGTACTGCTGGTGAACTTTGGATACCTGATTTTTCCATTTCTAATCTGTTTAGATTTCCTGATTATCTTTTGCAGCTGAAGTACTCACTTTCAAGCCCTGGTATTGGTAGATGAACATGACTTGAAGCAATGATCTTTACAAATTTCATGGCCACAAATAAAACTGTAGAAGTTTAAACAAATGGATCCAGGGATGCATTTGTAATCACAAACTATTACCTGCAGTAATTACAGGGGATATTGTTTCGGTTCCAGCACATGCTGGAATACAAGGGAATGAGATCTCAGATAATTTGGCCAAGTCTGGATTATCGTACAAAATCCTGAATACGATGTATCAGACATTCGACAGAGCCATTCAGATTTTGAAATCTATTTTAATAGGTTTGAACCAATTGTGGGATGTTGGCACTCCGAACGAAATATGTACTTATACTGAGGTCTCCATTATGTCACCTGAACGATTTTTTTTTTTGATTTTTTTTTCTTTTTTGTAATGATTTTTGTTGTTGTTTTTTGGTTTTGGTTTTGTTTTGTTTTTTAAATAATACCTTGTTATTCCTATTTTGTAAATTCAATTTGTTGGGCTCAAATAGACATTCTGCTGGCCCACGTTGCCCTGCACCTATAACACCACCATTACTACCTCAGACATTTGCACACAGCTTCTTTCTAATGTGAGGTTATCTGTTTATTGCAGGACCTTTTACGTGTATCATCAAAGACGAAAGAGGCCGGTCTGACAACAAGACGATTAGGGTTACGGTTGTTGCCCGCCCCGTTGTGAGGCTTCTGCCTCTGAAGAACGTCTACATAACGTCTGGTAGCATGATCAATATAACGTGCAACGTGACAGAGTCAGGAACAGACGACACCAACATAACGTTTTATAAAAATGGCAATCCTATACAAACAGGTAAGCAAAGTTTCAAAATTTTATTTCCGGAATCAGTCAAATATCTCACACAGCTACAATGGGTCAGTTAGCACATAATAAGTATTCATGATTTGGTTTGAACGTACCCGTAATTCTGATCCGTGTTTCAATTGATACATCAGTTATTTTGTACTCAGTTATTGTTTAGGCGATTATGTGTGCCCTAGCATTGAGTAGAATGGGACTAGAACAGTCTTTTTGCTAGATCTTCGCCGTGGGGTAATCTGCGTTCAAAGCACAAGCTTGTTGTACAATTTGCCTCGGGTGGTCAGGCTTGGCAACTTGGCTGATTGCGTTTCAGCTCACTCGCATGGTTTGCCTGTTCCAGATGAGGTTGTACACAGCCCTGATAAAGCTGGAATATTCAAACACTCACTCACTCTTTTCTAGAAAAATCAATGTCCAGCAACTTTAGCGTTACGGGCAATATCGAATCGAACGGAAATTACACGTGTAGGGGAAAGAACGGAGTTGGAGAGGGGGACGACAGTGCCATTACCAGCGTTTCCATCATAAAACGTGAGTATAATGTTCGGACCGGTGAAGATCCGGGGTAGAATAGGTCTTCAACAACCAAGGCTTGCGGTAACAGGCGACTATGCCTGTCGTAAGAGGCGACTAACGGGATCGGGTGGTCAGGCTCGCTGACGTGGTTGATACATGTCATCATTGTATCCCAATTGCGTGGATCGATGCTCATGATATAAATCACTGGATTGTCTGGTCCAGACTCGATTATTTACAGACCGCCGTCATATAGCTGGAATATTGCTGAGTGCGACGTTAAACAACAAACAAACAAACACAACATAGAGTATAATGTTCGAGTGTGATATTAACAACAGCTGCACAGAAGCTGGTATCGGTGGTAGTGTTTGAAACTGACATGAACGACCATAAATGACTGCGGTGCTGAAGAAGGTGCTGAAGTAGATGCTGAAGTGTCTCTGCATGAGAAGGTGTAATGTGTGTGGAGACATTTATTAATTAATACATAAAACTTACGGCGAATTTTGGACCCGATGTTATAAGATGGATAAAGTAACAGGGACGTGATCGCATGCTGAACGGAAAAGATTGTTGGATTGTTTCTTGGGGGATGATAAATATTACCTCGATGTGTTAATACTCATCATTATATTTATAATTAGTGTATACACGCCACCGTCGCATGATCAGGAGCACTTTTGTGCTGCGTCAGGCATTAAATACTTACTTTTTATACAAATTGTGTGACCGCCTCTGTGGTCTACTGGTAGAGCGTTCGCCCGGAGAGCGGAAGGTCTGGGGTTCGATCCTCGGCCGCGTCATACCAAAAGACGTTAAAAGATGGTACTTGTTGTTACCCTGTCTGGCGCTCGGCATTAAGGGGCTAAAACAAGGACCGGTCGGCTCGGAGTCAGTATACTGCGTCTGAGTGGGGTATTCATGTTAAACTGTGGCATGGTATCTCATTGAGCTAGCACTATAAATCGGCATCAGGACTAGTACAAGCAGCCACACAAACACACACACGTGCATGCACGTCGCTATATAAGTGCAATAATCTTGGACGCGACGTTAAACCCCATTTCACCTCACCTACAAATTGTGTGAATGGTGGGTGCTACCTGTAGGGCAGAGCACGTTTACCCTTTTCAAGAACACCTGGTGTCATTCCTGATTTTTCAGTCGTCCATTCATATAATTGCACAGCTATTTTGCCCTTTACACTAAATGTAATCTGTTTCGGCCGATTATGTGAACTGGCTATTCTTTTGCGTTGACAATTTACATTGGTTTAGAAAGAAAAACGACGTCTGTTGATATGAATAACAAAATCGGCTGGGTTATTACGTTACACTTTTATTATTTAGCTAATTAGTTATGAAGATATTCATGAACATATCAATTACACTTTGTTTCCAGAGGACATCATCCGGTGTGGCAATGAAGCGACGTGGCAGACAACCAAAGCAGGGCTCACCATAGAGGCTCCGTGTCCTGATGAACAAACTGGTGGGTGTAAGAACTTCTATTGTGACATCCCGATAGTCTGGACACTGTTAGTAAGAAACCCGTCCCCACAACTAGTTGGACCTGCCATATATAAGTTAAGGGGTAGAATAGGTCTTCAGCAACCCATGCTTAACGTAAAAGGTGACTATGCTTGTCGTAAGAGGCGACTAACGGGATCGGGTGGTCAGGATCGCTGACTTGGTTGATACATGTCATCGTATCTCAATTGCGTGGATCGATGCTCATGATATCAATCACTGGATTGTCTGGTCCAGACTCGATTATTTACAGACCGCCGTCACATAGCTGGAATATTGCTGAGTGCGGCGTTAAACAACAAAGAAACAAACATAACGTCCCCGTGATTCTTTAATCAATACACTGTCTATGAACTCAGATCCTTTTAAAGGAAGCACTTTTCGAACGTTTTGTGTGAGGGTCGGATTGCTTTTTGGTTTTGCTAATATCGATGTCTGTGAAATGGTATAAACAGTATATTCGAGTGCGAAATCTGCTTGAGGTAACTGGTAACAAACGTGTGAAATTGGCTTTCAGGTGCGTGATTAGCTATTTCACGGTGGTGATCAAAGGGAGGGATCATGAGTGACTACTTTCCTGATTTTAATTCATTGATATGTTATTGAGTTTCGGTCGAATTCACCTACGTGATAGAGTGGAAATAAATGTTCTTTGATGTTATCTAGTTTGCATTATTATTATCGTCTTGATAATCCACAGATATGGAGGAACTGTTTTGTGTGGAGAGTCAAACGAGGTATGAGTAGTAAGACGGATAACGTCACTCATGGCCGTTTTGCTACAAATTTATGCACCCCTCCGATCATGAGAAAAATTCAAGTACCAAGTTGTCCGATTCCTCATTGTTCGCGGTACCTTAGGTTTGGTATATTCCAATCTGTTGACGAAACCAGGAGAGTAGCCGCGTTTGTTGCCAGGAATCCAGTTCTTCTGACAAACAGGGTAATGCAGAAGGCTGCATAGTTGGGAAGTCTTCACATTCTCCGAAACGTTCTTGGTGATTTCGCCCAGACAGCGCTCTATGGGAGAAGTCCCATTCGCTGTCTGGGCTGCGTGTTGAGAGTCCGAGCTAATGATGAGCCTAACCAGCCTTACTGTGCCAGGATCACCCAAGCCCTCTTCGCGGCATTTATTTAATCTGTAAATAATAATAATAAGGCTATTTATATTGCTCTGCTAAAATGTCTACAGCACACGGGGGCATGGACAAAGCGCTACATTATTATTATCCTGGTCAATGGAACACTGTGCCCACGACTTTCCTTCCGAACTCCCTGGGGAGTATAAACCGCAATGTTAATATGCATGTTCGTTTCACAGGTGAAATGAGTCGAACCTGCAGTGTTGATGGGTCGTGGCTGGAAGTCAATAAGAGCCAGTGTGTCAGTCCGAAGATAGAAAAGGTCCTTGCTGATGTAAGTACATGAATATACAAGGCTTGTGAATCATACAATGTCTAGAAATCCCGTCAAATAAATGAATGGATTTAGAAAGTACATATAATTGGCCGCAGTGTATCCCAAGTGTCGATTAATCCCCGCAACTGCCCCACTTGCAGCACATACGGGTTTCTTTAAAGAGAAAACTTGCATTGATAAGACAACCTGATAACTTGAAAAGCTAGGGGCGGTCGGGAGTGGTTGAAGCGCTCGCTCATCGCGCCGAAGACCGTGGTCCGATTCCCAACAGGAATACAATGTGTGAAGCCCATTTCTGGTATTCCCCGCTGTGGTATTGCTGCAACGTTGATAAAAGCAAAACTATATACTATATACCTATCATCAAGTGACACTGTAATCAGAGAACTGAGGGTACTTACAATACATACTTTGCGTCATCTAAATTATTCCGAAAATCGGCGGTTCGTGTGTTGTTGTAATGGTACATTCATTTGACAAAACGAAAGTATACACCAATATGTGATGTAGCTACAAATGAAACAAATGATTATTCGATTGTGATGTATTCGATACGAGTAGCATAGTTGTGTTTTGGGCCTTATAATTGCCGTGTTTCAAAGACTGGTTTCGGCCTACTAACGTTTTGATAACGTTTGTAATGTTTGGGTCAAATCCAAATTTCAAGTATATGCTTTGTTTTCATTTATAGATGCTATTATTTGAATCTGATTTAATATGACTGTTGACGGAATGTGTCTCAGATTGCGTGGATTGAGGACGGAGTCCAGGTGGCAAACATCTCCACCGTTGCGGAGACTCTCTCGGCGAACACGAAGCCGAAGGACCTCGGGAGCAAGGAGATTGGTCTTGTGTCACAGTCACTGGATCGACTGTTGAACATTTCTAAGGAGAGCAACATCACAGAGAATAAGAATGAGACGAAACAGTTCACCAAGGTTTCACAACAGATTCCTTTCAGTTGTAATAGATGGTAGTTCTACCCTCTAACTGTATCAGGGGCGGTCGGGTAGCCTAGTGGTTAAAACGTTCGCTCGTCACGCCGAAGACCCGGGTTCGAATCCCGACATAGGTACAATGTGTGAAGCCCATTTCTGGTGTCCCCCGCCGTAATATTGCTGGAATATTGCTAAAAGCGGCGTAAAACCAAACTCACTCACTGTAACTGTATCAACACACTGCAGTGTTTATATATTATATTTTTATCATTATCACTGTATAATGTGTTTCATATTTTACACCCCCCGGTGATAATAAGTTGTTTCTATGTGATGGGTAATATAACCGAAGATCAAGATACTAAGGTAGCACGTTCCTGTTTCATTTCCATTGATTAGAAAATCCCACAGGTTAATTTGAATCCAAGACGAGATGTGTGATACATTGTTTTTCTATTGGTGTCATAATACCCTGTACCATGGTAGCATACAATCTATTCCACTATGGCTCCTGTCTTCAAAGTAAGTGTTCATTATTTCTGTTATTTCTGTTGTCAAATTTGCTTATTTTTTTCTTTTAACGCCTTTGTTTTAGGGCTTTGTTACAAGCGCTAGTAACATCCTCGATCCAAAGACTGTCGACAAATGGGAAAATTTAAAGGTTGGTGTGACACTGACTTGTTTCATAGTTGTTTGGTTAAGACCGTCAAACATCCACAGAATTTGATTACTGTAGCAGATTTATGTTCTGGGGCCCTGCTAGTTACGTATGTATACAAGTAAACGACAATAATATGATTCTGTTCAATTTTCGTAGACTCCATTGACGTATCAACTTTGTAAGACATGCACATCAAACACCTCAAGTACAGCGGCGATGTTAAACGTTCTCATACACCTATAACGACGGGTGACCCAGTCAATCAAGGCCATGTAATTCATTAAGTGACGTCTCTTAGATATCCCAAAACCTAAGACTGTCGATTCGAATCCCAATTTGCCCCGATTATGTTTCATCAAAGTGGTTAGCGTCTGAGATCTGCTTAACTTCGGGCTTTCCTCCTACATCAAGCAGACACGCCGTGATATAACTGAAATAGTGTTCAAAGCCGCATAAAACCAAACTCACTCACTCAAGGGCACGGTGTGTGTTGGTTTGATTATCGTAATAGTGAATGGAAAGAAAATCATTTCCTTCGCCACGAATTACACCAGAAGAACGTTTAAATTATCATCATACTTTTGATAAAAACCTTTTGTTATTTTGAAAGTTTGACAACTGGTTAAACTGTTACTTTTATGTTACAATTTCTGATTAAACCAACTGCTGTAATCTTCATAAAGACTGAACGGTGAGTTAAGGCCTATTTGTTACAAGGGGACTTCGTGATATTTTAACAGAGCTGTTTTCGTCAATCCAGGAATCATCGACCACGCCCACCACGGTGTTGGAGCTGGTGGATAACGTCACGGAGGTGGCTGCCAACAGCCTCGACGAAGGAGAAGTAGAAACTATCACGTCTCCCAACATAGGTACAGCCATTCTCTGCGTGTTAACAAGGCCGTCACAGAATCAACTGTAATATCACCACAACTAACAGCTCCGTAGTACTGACCGAATATTATAAGTGACATTAATCTGTTCTGGTGCTCGTGACTAGAATGGTGAGGGAACCGTCAGATCTGGGTTTCCCACATATCTCTTCAGGGATATAACAAATGTTATATTTGGAATAACACTTTCTAAGTAAAGTACAAATTCTCGTACCTTTTTTGGTTTGAGTCCTATCTCTGAATACAGAACAGGATCTCACATTTTGCAATGACTTGTATTTGTACATGTACATTTTTAAAATTAATGAATAATTTCTAACATTTCTTCCAAAGACCTTCAGGTCGGCAAGACGAGCCCGAACAGCATACAAGACATCGTGTTTCCAGAGCAGAAAGCCCTGAAGGACACTTCGAAGATCACCAGTTCTCTGAGACTTTCCAGTGAAACATTGAAGACAGGTACTGTTCAAACTGTATGAGCGACCTGGAACTATATCGCAACGTCGAATTTGAATCTAGCTTCTTACGCTGGATGATAGTTATGTATATATGCTATATTTTCAGGGAATAATCAATCATGTACATGACGTCTGCGCTGCGTCTAAACTCAACAAGTCTTTGGTGATTTGGCAGGAGAATATTTGTTCTAGTACAATATGTGCGATAATATTAAACGGGCCTTTTCTTCATACGACCTTCATATTAAGTAATGGTATCCCAATGTTACTCGGTTTCATCCAAACTTTTTTTTCAGCTAATGGGACGGTACGGTTCAGTGCGATCTATTACAAGAACATATCATCGCTACTCCCCGAGGGGACAGAGCTCAAGGAACCATCAGAAGACGGGCTTGGGTAGGCCCCCTCTTCAGCGTCACTTGTCATCAGAACACATCTGTGTCAACTGAACCTAAATCATGCTTAACCACTATGAACAGACGACAGAAGTGTTTGTTTGGAAACTAGATACCATTGGCCCTTCCCTACATACCACACAATGAACATTTGATCTCCAGAACACTTCAGTGTTGTAAATGGCTTTGACAGAAGTGTTTGTTTGGAAACTAGATACCATTGGTCCTTCCCTATATACCACAAAATGAACATTTTATCTCCAGAACACTTCAGTGATGTAAATGGCTTTGACAGAAGTGTTTGTTTGGAAACTAGATACCATTGGCCCTTCCTTATATACCACAAAATGAACATTTTATCTCCAGAACACTTCAGTGATGTAAATGGCTTTGACAGAAGTGTTTGTTTGGAAACTAGATACCATTGGCCCTTCCCTATATACCACACAATGAACATTTTATCTCCAGAACACTTCAGTGATGTAAATGGCTTTGACAGAAGTGTTTGTTTGGAAACTAGATACCATTGGCCCTTCCCTATATACCACACAATGAACATTTTATCTCCAGAACACTTCAGTGATGTAAATGGCTTTGACAGAAGTGTTTGTTTGGAAACTAGATACCATTGGCCCTTCCCTATATACCACAAAATGAACATTTTATCTCCAGAACACTTCATTGATGTAAAAGGCTTTGACAGAAGGGTTTGTTTGGAAACTAGATATCATTGGCCCTTCCCTATATACCACAAAATGAACATTTTATCTCCAGAACACTTCAGTGATGTAAAAGGCTTTGACAGAAGTGTTTGTTTGGAAACTAGATACCATTGGCCCTTCCCTATATACCACAAAATGAACATTTGATCTCCAGAACACTTCAGTGATGTAAATGAGTCAGAAGCCAAAGAGTTTTACCGTTCAAAAACAAAATATATGGGGCAAGTGAAAATGAAATTCAAAGTATCTGACTCTTGCACATTTTCTTTTTCCAGCCAGAACAGTTCGTCAAAGCTGGTGGTCAGCGGGGATGTTTTTGCTTTCAACCTATTTCCTCCTCCAGAAAAAGAGCTGTATCCGCCATTAAAAATGAACTTCACTCATACAAATGTGAGATGTTTAGTCAACCATTAAATGCACCAATATATCATTCATCTATTACTAGCCAGATTAAGAATAGTGCAAATTCTTTTTTTGCAATTAAGAATAAAGCAAAATAGTAAGTGTAATTGTTCTACTGGCACGTACATGTATATATAAGGTCATACGATTTGTATCTGTAATAATTCTTGTCATCCATCCTACGATGAATAGCACAGTGGATGTATTTATAATTGAAATTATCGACCTAATTCTATTCAAGTTGTTGAATCGCGCAGTGTTATTGATTTGGTAATCAATTAATTACGTTGTGATGTTCCAGCAATCACTGGATTCTGCAAGGGGGCAGTGCGTCTTCCTCAACATATCGGAGAGGTAGGCATATATTTTTATAATGAAACTGGCTTTAATCTAAACCGTTAAGGGAATAGGAAAATGGTTGGTTTGTTGTTTAACGCCGCACTCAGCAATATTCCAGCTATATGACGGCGGTCTGTAAATAATCGAGTCTGGACCACACAATCCAGTGATTGACATCATGAGCATCGATCCACGTAATTGGGATCGATGACATGTATCAACCAAGTCAGCGAGCCTGACCTACCGATCCCGTTATTCGCCTTTTACGACAAGCAAAGTCACCTTTTACGGCAAGCATGGGTTGCTGAAGACCTATTCTACACCGGAATCTTCACGGGTCAATAGGAAAATGGAAGACCAACGGTAGGTGTACGAAGAACGGTGAATCGCTCAGCAATTTGCTGTGCATAGTTGCGTCCCTTCGGTAACACCGAACATCAAATCCAATCTGATAATGACGCTTGTATAGTGATACCTGCATCTTTTGAGGCTTTCCTCACATTTGTAACTGACACGCTAAGATCTATTTAAAATAATGTTCAAAGTGGCGTTAAACCACACTCACTCTCGCTGAGACGAATCACTTTCAAGGATGAACATTTCGTGTCACCATGCATCATTGGTGTGAACAAATCCTGTATGACCCACGGACATGTGTAAAGTGAATAGGCGAAGTAGTAACATAAGGAAAATGTATCAATTCAATTCAACTATTGTTGTAGTATTATTAATATGCCAACAAAACGAATGGTTGTGCTTTCTATCTTCCGAGGTTCAGGTCAATTTGTCAAAAATAAACGAAAATGCCATCTGAGAAATCAACATGTGAAATGCTCGACTTCCTCATTGATAACATATACATATATATATATATGTACATCTCATTGATAACATCTATGTAAAATTTTAGGGTGAGACTTTTCGGCCAGAAGCAGGCATCCCATATTTGCACCAATTGTTCTCCCCCTTTTCGCTGATCTGTTTCTTTATGCATATGAATCGGAATATGTTCTCGAATGGGTAAAGGCAAAACAAGGTGATTGGCCAAGAAGTTTTACTTAAGTTTCAGGTATATCAATGATCTGATATCGTTCAATGACCGTCTAATAGACCATTCCCTTCCATTGATTTACCCACCTGAACTAGAAATATGGGAAACCAGTGAGACCGCCTCATCTGTTTCATATTTAGATCTATGCATAAAGATTCAGAGTGACAAAACACTCTCGACAAGACTATAATCTATGAATGAAACTTTCAAATAATCAACTTTCCCTTTGTGTGGAGCAATATCCCAGCAGTTCCAGCCTTTGGTGTCTACATTTCACAACTTTTGAGGTTCAATTGAGCTTCATCTTTCAAGGTTTCAAAGAGCGCCACACGAATGCTGCTCGGAAGCTGATCAAGTTTAAAACATTCAAGGCCTCAGTAAAGCTTTCAAAAGATTTTATGGTAGACATGTTGAAGATATTTCCAAATTTGACGCATCAGTGGCAAGAATGATGTCCGATGCCATTCCATATTTTGAGTTGTACCATATGCTCCCGTGTTTTTTCAGGTGATCAATCGACTTGCCTGTGCATGTGTTTGTGAAGAGTGCCACCGTTGGGGCAGGATACGCTCACCTTTTCGCGAACACATGGTATCGTCACTATTTGACAGTGCCTCACAAACACATGCTCATTGTGTAGTCGGAATCGTACAATCGACAAACGAAGAGAGTTCTTTTGAATGTGTAAATGTTTTTTTCGCTTTTATTTCCAGTAACTGGCAAATTGATGGATGCAATGCCAGTATACGAGCTAGAAACTACACTGAATGTTCCTGTAATCATCTTACTACATTCGCCCTACTGATGAGTCCGGTAAGAATATATGCTATGGTGTAACCCTACGGAATATCGTGAAGATATACGAGCGAGGGATGCATCAGAGCTGAATGGCCTCATTCATGATGTTTTCTATTTCTTTAAGTTGCATGAGTGAGTGAGTTGGGTTTAACGCCGCTTTTAGCATTATTACAGTTATATCGCGGCGTGTCAGCGTAATGTGGGAGGAAAGCCCGAAGTGGTGCAGGTCTCAGACGTTTACCACTTCGGTGAAACCCACGAGCACGGGTATGGTACTGACAAACCTAGAAACATAAACGGGGCGAACCGGGATTCCAACCAACAATCATAGGTTTCTGGCATGCCCAAGGGACGACACTCTGCACAGCGAATCGCGGCGCCTTAGACGACTGGGCCACCCGTGCCCCCTTAAGTGGCATGAAGAAGATGTAGTATCAATGAAGACAAGATGATTAACGTGTGGATATGGTGGTGCGGGTACTAGTATCTTTATTAAGCAAGTGATCAACGGCTAGGTAGAACGTGGTTTATACATAATGTTACATCCACACAAACATTAACTGTGCAGGGCTCTATTAAGACATATCGTCGGGTTAATAGAATGAGAAATTTACACGACCACTATTCATACCGTTTCATCCACAAGTGGTGTAGCTAGTTAAGAGTGATCACAAAACAATCGAATGTCCTACACCCACATGAAGTAGCAATATGCAGAATACAAAACGCTTTTAAAACAGAAAAAAGGGTTGGACCAATGCTAGTGATGTTTGTTATTGTTTTTGGATTCATTTAACAATGTAAATGCCCTTGGTCTGCAGAGGAGAACAGGAGTGAAGCCGACGCCGCTTCCCTTAACGATAATAACAAAAGTTGGATGCAGTATTTCCGTGGCCTGCCTGGTTTTGACTGTGATTCTATACGCCACGGTGTGGAGGTAAGCTTGTACCATCAAAATATATGTCTTAGTAGTTTTACGACATAGGTATCTGTGCACGTTTGTATATGTTTAGTGTTGCTAAAATAGCTGTAACTTCTTGTCAAAATATCTAAACCAGTATTATTGCAGTATTGTTATGGGGCCGCATTTTGCACTGCAGAGTTGTGTCAATATGCCTGAAATGATATGGCTTCTACGGCTCAAAATCTAATATCATACAGATAAACATGGTTTGTTTATTTGGGAGTAGTGCACTTTACCGGGCGCACTTTTTCAGATCCCCGAAAAGGGGTTTTGGATTGTAAAGACGTGTAAGTTCCCCTAAGACCGAAAACGGGTGTTGGATCGTAAAGACGTGTAAGTTTCCCTAAGACCGAAAAACGGGTGTTGGATCGTAAAGTTGTGTAAGTTTCCCTAAGACCTAGAACGGGTGTTTGATCGTAAAGATGTGTAAGTTTCCCTAAGACCGAGAATGGGTGTTTGATCGTAAAGATGTGTAAGTTTCCCTAAGACCGAGAACGGGTGTTTGATTGTAAAGATGTGTAAGTTTCCCTAAGACCGAAAACGGGTGTTGGATCGTGAAGCGAGAGTCACCAGAGCGTGAGGCACGGTAACGGTATAACGAGACAGCGGTGGCACTATTGAGCGGATGGTAGAGCTCGGGCTGCGCCCGGTAAACTGCATTGTTGCCTTTCAGTTTGATCATTTAGAAAATAGAAAATGCGTCACTCATGAAATTTAGACTCTGTCAATAAAAGCATAAAAAAAATTCTATATCATTATAAATATCTATTAAAAGCAGAGTCCAGGGCTGATCATGAAATATAATTTAAATTTTATTTTTTTTAAGTTATACTTCCTGATCAGCCCGGGAGTTCAAACTGAACGAAATTACAGAAGGATGCACGGCAAATCATATGCAACAAAAATATCGAACATATTTTCATTTTCCTGTCAAATAACATGTTTATCTCATTGGGTGACACGATAAGTTCACCTTTTCGTGAATATCTGATGTCATCGCTATTTGTCATCACGATGTAGTTGGAATACCAGGGCACTCAATATGTCTCACGATCATCATTGATCTATTTTTTTATTTATTGTATAAACTCAGGTAATTATTATATCAAAAGATTCGTTTGGTGAGCCTGTACAAAATACCTATGGTAACTTTGGTACAAGTTGGAAAGTGAAGCAGTATTATCACACTATGCAGATCAATTGCAATCATGCACTGATACCAATGAACATCTAAGCTTAGGTCTAGCAGAAATTTTGGCGTTAAACCCAACTTACTCACTCATTATAGCAACAGTTCATTATTATCGTATACGTTTCTTCTTTCGTTCTTGAATCGTCACAGTGTGGTCGTGTGGCTATGTTGTGTTGTGCTCGGTTGATTCAGTGTAACCATTTCTTTCTTCATTTCCAGATACGTGAAATCCAATCAATCTGTTATCGTGGTTCATATTTGTGTGTGCCTTTCTATTGCCATGCTTCTGTTTATGTTTGGGGTGGAACAGACAAAATATAAAGTAAGTTCATTTGTTTTTGTTTATAACATTAATATTATACAGCTTCAGTATAATTGTCATCTTACCTGAACTCAACTTCCTGTCCCATTAACTATAACACATAAATGGTTTTCTCAGAAATATATAGATTTAATATCACATTTTCGTATGAAAAATAACTGTTGTTTTGGATGGCAATAATTCATCCTTACATTATTAGGCTGTGTGTACGTCCATTGCTGTGGCCCTCCACTTCTTCTACATAGCGAGCTTCTTCATGATGCTGGCTGCAGGTCTGGAGGCATTGTGGTCAATTGTGCTCGTGTTCGCAGTCAGATCTAAGCTGAAACCCCTCTTGACTGGAGCCTGGGGTAAGTCGTGCATAAACAGTTTGCTATATCCAAAGACGTTGGTGCGTGAAGTAGCCTGTTGGTGAAAGCGTTGACCAGGTCTGTTTGCCAAGGTGGATACGATGTGTAAATATAAAACATCAACGCCAGAGAATAAACGAGACTCAATTTTCCACCGAAACACATACCACTGGGCGTAAAAGGAAAAATAACGGTTATAATTATATGAATAGTAAACTGAAAGATAAATGAAGATGTAATAGGATTGGTCGAACATTCATTTATACGTCATGGTATGATCCGAATAAATCTCCCAATGACAAATTGCGGGAGTCTTGTCCACTCCTCTTGCAGCATTTGGCCCAGTTCTGCGTAACGTAGCGGGTGGCCTTTGACGTCGACGTGCACATCTCCCTATCATGTCCAAGACGTGCTCCACTGGGGGAAGGTCAGGACGCATGGCTGGCCATTACATTCCGGTGATGCTTTGCTGCGTGGTGCAGCCAGTTACGATATATGTATGGTGGGCATGAGCATTAAAACGTAGGCCATTCCATGGACAATATGCAGTGGCGTCATAGTGATCCCGACCCATATCATTGCTGACCCACTTCTAAATCTGGCATGTTGCCTCACGTTGATGTTCGCATGTCGCTGCTAGGACGCCACCAGACACGTCCACATCTATCCAGAAAGTCAAGAATGCATCTGGACTCATCTGAAAACATCACTCGATACCACCGGGCATTTCCCCATTTCCATTACCATTTCCATTAGAATGTGTAGATTTGTTAACGGTGGTACGACACGTGGTCGCCGAGCATGCTGAAGCTTGAACTCCTGTGGCCTGGCGCAGCTGAACAGCAATTTGATTGACTGGTTGGATTCGGTTTCTTGAAGCCTGGTATCTGATCAATCGATCCTGGACTTGTGCTATTGACGTGGGGCGCCCAGTGCAGGGCCGATGCTTAACATTTGTCTGCAGAAACAAGTTCCAAAGTCTGAACTCACAGACTAAGAAACATTGAACATTTTGGCTACCACTCGCTAAGATCTACCAGTTTGAAGCATACCGATACTACTTTGACGTCCATCATGTTGTAGATGACGCATGCCAAATAAGATCACAAATACTGCCTTAAAGCAAGAGTAGAGAGTTTTCGTTTTATTGTGAAAATAAACTATATTCAGAGTGTCGAAATCAAGAATGACCCCCCTACCCACGTGCACAGAGGAATGATATCGTCGACGTGCAATGTTTTGGGTGTGTTGGGCATATTTTCACATTTTTCCTTCTGACGACCTGAGGGGCAAAAGAAATGCCAGAAACGTCAGTTTTCAACAAATTTGTCAAACAGCACGAAAACAGCTGGGAACACATAGCTGGAATGCAACTTACCAATTCCCTGTGAACATGTGCACGTGCCTCACGTGACTTGCGAGAAAAGTGAATTTAATTATTAAAAATGCAAAGTGTGCACAAAGTTACCCGTATGAAATTCTGGTATAAAACAGAAGCAGGATTGTACTCTCTCATCACATGAAACCGTTTAAAACAACGAACATGCCTCGACGAACCGCAGAGCAGAGGGAGAGAGCCATCGGTATGTTGCAGATGGGAGCGATGCAGGAGCACGTTGCCAGGATCATGGGCTGCTTCAAGTGCACCATCGCCAGACTTGTCACACGTCACTGGCATTACTGCCGACATACCGAGAAGTTGAAGACCCAAGGTCACGACCCCACGCAAAGACCGGTATTTACGGGTGCTTCACCTAAGTTCAAGATTCCTAACTGTGACGTCATCATCCGCAAACAACCTTGCAAATCCAGTCAGCAGAAGGACCGTTGCTAGACGACTCCGCCTGTATGGTCTCCGTGCCTTTCAAGGGCATGACGTTAACGTTTCTACACCGACGTCACAGACTGAGATTGGACTAGAATGTACAGCAGTGGCAGCAGAGAAATTGGTGAAGAGTGCTCTTCAGCGACGAGAGAAGGTGCCAGCTCTTCATGTCTGATGGGTGGGTGAATGGCATATGACGACGTGTTGAATGGCATATTGTTGCGTCCAAGAAGTGGAGCATTATGAAGTTGGTAGTGTCATGGTCTGGGGTAGCATCTGCCGGGACCAGAAGATAAATCTGGTCATCATCCACGTAAATCTCACCGCACGTCGTTACAATGATGTTTTGCTTGTGGTACTGCCTTTCCTGCAACGACACCCACGGACGCAGTTTCAGCAGGACAACGCCACCCCTCACACAACTCGAGTCCAACTCGCCAACAACGTGACCAAATTACAGTGGCCAGCCAGATCACCTGACCTGTCGCCCCTAGTGCACCCCTGGGGCCAACTTGGACGCAGGATTCGGAAACGTCAACAGCCGCCATTGACGAGGGATGCCTTGGCAACTGCCCTGCAGGAAGAATAGCGTAGGATACCTTATCAGGATTTCAGGAGACTCTGTTCGACGTCGTGTTAGGGGCTGCATCGTTGTTGAGGGGGTCACACCCGATATTGAGCCATGTGTTTAGCATGGGACTTTAAAATAGATCGACGTCGATTCTTCGGGTGTGATCGAGTCCTGGTCAGTGCACACATCATGATAAACGTGTCTGCAGAAGTACATATAATTTTATCATTTTCATTTTTACCGTTTTTAAATAATTGTGTTTTTCTATAATAAAACATCAACTGTTACTAAATTTTGCGTCTGTTTTGTTTTAGACCAGAACCTTGCTTGGTGTCGTTTCTTTTGCCCCTTAGTTAAGAAACGTCACCCCAAGTAACATTGCATGAAAAGTTGTCATTTAAATATCTGGGTAATTGTTGTCAAAGATTCTACAAATTAACATTACCTTGTCCGGAAAAATAAAATTTAATGATAAAAAACAAAGCAGATGACAATAAAACCGATCGCCCAAACGCATCACGGCAACGGCCATGGTTACCCGATGCACGTGAGTTCCGTGGAAATTAAAATGCGCACGCGTTCCCCAATTTCTTGCCCCCAAAAACTCCACCCAGATAACATTCATTCGTTATTGAATTGCTACCACATGCCAAGATTGACAAGAAATCCGCGACACCAAGTCCTTGGATGATTGCAAGTTGGACATACCGCCCGGCAAGTAGCTAATGAATTCATCGTAAGGACCATATACAGACTCCAGCAACGGTACCAGACCACCAACACTACAGATGACCGACCACGTAGTGGAAGACCAAGGTTCACCACCCGACGTCACCAGCGACACAGTGCGGACACCGTGCGTCGAGTGTTGAAGAGCATACACCTCCACTGTCACTAGCCACACCGAGGACCCATTCTCACAACACGTCATCGCCGAAACCGTCTTCAGTGGGCAACATAGCACCAGCATTTGCGGCACCAGCAGTGGAGAAGAGTCCTCTTCTCAGATGAGAGCCGTTACTGTATCTCAACCGCAGATGGCAGAGAGAGTCTGGCGACAACATGGGAAACGTTTTTCGGATGCTTGTGATGTTGGATGGAGAGAGACTCGTGGAGTGCTCCGAGCTTCATGGTGTTGGGTGGAATTTGTCTTGAACAGAGGGTCGGCCCTGTGGTCTTCAAGAACATTTGTCCAGGGAGAGGCAATCGCGTCACAGCAGCTCGGTACATTGATCAAGTCTTGAGACCACACGCCATACCGCATTTGTCATGTCGCCGCAACCACGAGTTTCAGCATGATAACGCCCGTGTCCACACTGCGAGAGCAAAACGAGACTTCCTCCAACAGAATGGCATCAGAACCATGCAGTGGCCTGCCCTCAGTCCCGATTTAAATCCCATTGATCACCTGTTGGACGAGATTCAAAGACGGCTGAATAACTTCCGACCAAGGCCGACAACTGCAGCTAAACTGCGTCAGGCATTCCTCAGAGTGTGGGCTCAAGTGCCTATGGCCTTCATCAACCGCCTCATCCATTCCATGTATCGACCTTGCACGGCAGTCATCAATGCACATGGCGGACACACGAGCTACTGACTTGTGATGCTATTTTCTTAGAGACTAGTGTTGTGTTTCACTTTAAGAACATTTAATATGTCTCAAAGTATGTTTCCAGTGTTTGGACAAATAAGGTTTCTCATATATCTATCTATGGTGACGTTTCTTTTGTGGTTCAGTATATTTCTTGATCCCCTACTTTCTTTGGAGGGTACATATTGAATGTGAGCTCGTCGTTACATTGAAAATGCATTCACCTGGAGCACAATCACCTGCTGTGGACGGTAACGAGGGATTTAATATGACATGTGCAAGTTACATTCTCTGTCCACACCGTCTATATCACCATTCAAAAGGGCCTCAGTCTACACTGTCAGCACCGCGCCGACATATCCATTGTAAACGTACACCGCAGGATCAATGGCGTACAGAAGCTGAAGTCGCATAGAACAATTAGCAACTAGTAACTCATTATTTGTTGGTTTGATGTTCCCTGTTCGGGAGATAACTTTTGAAGACCTTGGATTGATTGCCTGTAGCCAGCTCTGGTTAGCAGCGTTTGTACTTACGTCACTGGTACACAAACACCAGGTATATACTTCAGTCATGATCAGGCTTGTGTCAGATATCCCCCTATCTGCATACGACGTACTCTCCATTTATACGACGAAAAACAAGTAATTGATGTTCTGGGTCGTTATCTGGCGGGTGATAAACCTTATCTAACAGGTGACTGAGACCAGAGTTATTTGTTGGCTGATTCCAAAACACTCTATTCCGCTTTAGGGTTATTCTCATTTCATTGTACACTATTCCTGTTATTTCACATCAAAATAATGTTATTCCATGCTCATTCATATTTTGCAGTTATGGCTGTGGTAATAGTCACCGTGTCCATGGCTGCTACACAGTTACATGGTTATGGAACACCGGAACAGTAAGCATTGGTTACATTGTCAAAATCCTTAAACTAATACAAAATAGATGTTATTACATAAGTAAGTTAAATACCCTCGAGGTTTTACCGCCTTATGTCAGTAGAGGTCTTAGTTAAAAAAGCTTTAGCCGCGGCCGAAGCAGACCAAACCCATAACACTCACCAATTCATTATTAGTAACTCGGCTAAGAATATATCTCCATGTTAAAAAACATCGGATGTGACTGTGTTTGTGTTAAAGTTTCATATTAAATGTTTACGTTATCTTGCTTGTCAAGTTGTTAATTACTGTAGCTCATGGAACACCGTCGTTGAAATAATGTACCTCCCACCTACTGTGGAACAGATTGTCCTGTTAATACTCAATTGACACACCAGAGTTCAGTAGATGTGTGTTCAAGAGTCCATAGGCTTATTCAATGATCTATCCTTGAACAGTTGCTGGTTGTCAATGGAGGATAACTTGAGATGGGCGTTCATTGGTCCAGTTCTCCTCATAGTCATTGTGAGTACTGGTTGTCGTGCAATTTGTCAGTGGTAGGTCAATGGTAGCTGTAGTAGTAAATGTAATGGTAGTTACTGAAGCACATGTAGTAGTAACGTGACGATCCGGTTTAGAATTTATCTTCAGAAACCCAGGCTTGTCGTAAGAGGCGACTGACGGGATCGGGTGGTCAGACTAGCTGACTTGGTTGATGCATGTCATCGTATCCGAATCGTATCTTGTGTATCATGATGTCAATCGCTGGATTGTCGATTGTGAAGGCTCGATTATGTGCAGACCGCCCTCCGCAAGTTTGAACATTGTCGAGTGAAACGACAAACAAGCAAACAAAAAATATAGTCGTAGCTGAAGAAGTTGTTGTGGAAGATGCAGAAGATGAGGCAGAGTAGTTGTAGTGGAAGAACCAGCTCGTGTAGGGCGCTGTGAGGCAAACAGCAGTACGAGGTCGCTGCAGTGGTTATATAATTTCATTGTGAAACTAACATACATGTTATTTATATCAACTTCGAAGAGCATAAAAAATGCATTTACATCCACATGAGCCCTACCGTGTTTGAAATGTAAATTGTATTGATTTTCAAAATAAGATGTCTAAGATTCCCATCAGCAGTTGTGTATTATGTAAAAACATTTTAAAAGTTTTAAATCAAATTAATTATTAAAAATAAAACCATGAACTAGTAGTCTTTGAGTGCTGACTAAGCGCCATTACAGGTCATTTGTTATATAATATCGCTAACTTTATTTATTTTCAATTGCAAATCAAACATACGATGATGATAACATCAACTGAGCGGTATAGTTTCTGTCGCCCCTCATTTTATATAGTATCATTAATCCGTTCTTCTGAAGTACTCAGAATTACTGTTGCAGGTTAACTTCATCATAATGGGAAAGTTGATACACACAATGCTGTCTACCCGCGCTCTACAAAACGTGGATGTCAAAAACAAGATTAAGTAAGTTATTTTAGTAAGTGAGGGAGTTTGGTTTTAAGCCCCTTAGAAACAGTGTTCCAGTTGTGTCACTGTTATATGTCTGTTTAATGTAGGGGAAAAGCCAGAAGCAATCCACATTCTAGACTTTGACCTCTTTGGTGCAACCCACGATTCCGGGTAGGGTGCTGACACACCTGAAAACCGATTAGGGATTCGAACCCATGATCATAGATGTCAGGGGTGTCTTTGGGGCGCAGCTCTGCAGATCGAAGTGCGGCACCTACGTTTATTAATATGAATCGTTACCATGTCTAATTATGAGGATAATTATGCAGTATGTTAAGAGTATGAGTTGATAATTTGTCACTAAGAGAAGCGATTATATTTTTGGGGCTGACAATGCCTAACATCTAACTGTCTAACTGAAACGTCAACATAAGAGAACAACCAGTCTCTATTATTTGCCGAAACAGGTTCCATTGGCGGTAACAGGCAAAATAGTGACGAAGCTTATATGAAGGGATCACTGAAAATTTGTAACAACTCCAGGTCTTCGAATTAAACACCTTGTAGGATCATCATTTGATAGTGATTCATACACACATACTCGGAATGGTAAAATGGACTATGCTTTTAGCAGACATTTATTATGCTTATGGAAATGGTTTGCGTAGCTTTTGTGTATTGTCATTCCAGTTCGGGAGTCCTGATTGTCCATGTATTGTCTTTTATTAATACAGGAGGTCTCTCAGAGGCATCTGTATTCTCATACCGGTGCTCGGGGTGTCCTGGATATTTGGGGTCATATCCGTAGAAGATGAAGAACGTGTTATGGAATATATTTTCGCCATTATCAACTCTCTACAGGGTTTGTTCATCTTCATCACTCAGTGTGTGATGAAGAGAAAGGTACGATTACACTTTCCTCGTTGAGGCATCAGATGTAAATATAAGACAACTGAAGGCATCATTGAAAGCTATTTAAATCTACAGTCACTGCCTCAGTCATTAACCTTCACAATTGTATAAAATCTTTCACTGTATTTACAAGTTTGGACCGTTGACTAGTACGAAATGATGGGACCTTGACTTAAAGCAATCAATTTAATTTATCAGGTTCGCATTGGGTTTGCCAACTACAGGAGACGATTCCTGTCAAGTCGGTCCCAGCTGTCAAGTCAACCAAGAAGAAAATCGGTAAATTTTCTTTTTCTTTGGCGTAACATAACTCTGGAGGAATTCTATGATTAAAATACGATCATAACATTCTATTGGTTGTCGCGAGGGGCTACGTACTATATTTAACGGGGTTGTCACTCTCTGTGGTTCGGCTGATTGTTGTCTATCAGCTAAGAATCCGGGTTAGAATTCGTCTTCAGCAACCCATGCTTGTCGTGAGAGGCGACTGACGGGTTCGAGTGACCAGGCTTACGCTGGCTTTGTAAATGCATGTCATCAACCAAATTGCGTAGATGGATGCTGATGTTGTCAGTCTCTGAATTGTCTGGTCGACTCGATTATTTACAGATATACCTGGTATACTGCTGAATGTTGGTTAGAAGCCAACCAATCAGAAACTTTCAGTGCGGCGTTAACCAACAAACTAATAAACTGATGCCGTGTCATCCTGACCCGAAGGTTTGATAGGATGCTCATCCTTTCCGTCACTGGTTTGTCAAGATTAAATATAGGTCGCGGAATAGCTTGAATATTACAAAATAAACAAACTGAAACATATTTTGTTACATTAATAAGTAGAGTTTCAAGTTCTTTGCATATCTAACTGTACATACTTTCTCCGCAGCGTCAACAGGACAGAGCAGAGGGCAGCAGGGATCTTGCGTCACAGCAAAGTGAATATATACTCGTGTTAGCAGATTGTGTGATTGTCTCATGCAGTAGAACATTCTTCGAAATCGTTTCAATGTTATACTTTGATTAGACACTAATGTGTGGTCGCACGTTTTGTTTTATGTAAGAAAGCATATGGGATGTTTATAGTAGCGGCAGCGGTTTGAGGGGATTTCTGATTCTGATTCTGGTGGGGCAGTTACATGTACCTGATCTTAAAAGATACAGTGAGTTATTATGTTCGAGTGAATGAAACACCATTGATGTGTTATTTTTCCAACGGCGGAGTGTCGTAACTGTGATTAGGGTCCAATCTCCGACATACCGTAACTGTGTTTAGTGTCCAATCTCCGACATACCGCAACTGTGATTAGGGTCCAATCTCCGACATACCGTAACTGTGTTTAGCGTACAATCTCCGACATACCGTAACTGTGATTAGGGTCCAATCTCCGACATACCGTAACTGTGATTAGGGTCCAATCTCCGACATACCGTAACTGTGTTTAGCGTCCAATCTCCGACATACCGTAACTGTGATTAGGGTCCACTTTCCGACATACCGTAAATTTGTTTAGGGTCCAATCTCCGACATACCGTTACTGTGTTTAGGGTCCAATCTCCGACATACCGTTACTGTGATTAGGGTCCACTCTCCGACATACCGTAACTGTGATTAGGGTCCAATCTCCGACATACCGCAACTGTGATTAGGGTCCAATCTCCGACATACCGTAACTGTGTTTAGCGTACAATCTCCGACATACCGTAACTGTGATTAGGGTCCAATCTCCGACATACCGTAACTGTGATTAGGGTCCAATCTCCGACATACCGTAACTGTGTTTAGCGTCCAATCTCCGACATACCGTAACTGTGATTAGGGTCCACTTTCCGACATACCGTAAATTTGTTTAGGGTCCAATCTCCGACATACCGTTACTGTGTTTAGGGTCCACTTTCCGACATACCGTAAATTTGTTTAGGGTCCAATCTCCGACATACCGTAACTGTGATTAGGGTCCACTCTCCGACATACCGTAACTGTGATTAGGGTCCAATCTCCGACATACCGTAACTGTGATTAGGGTCCAATCTCCGACATACCGTAACTGTGATTAGGGTCCAATCTCCGACATACCGTAACTGTGATTAGGGTCCAATCTCCGACATACCGTAACTGTGTTTTGGTGTGCCAAGAGACCCTCCAGCAGTTACCCCAACGTATTGCCGTTCCGTGTCGCCATGGTCAGTTTACGACAGAATTGCGGGGTTGACGATTGGGCTGTAAAGAGTCTATTAATCTAAATGGCATGAGCTGAAACTACATGTAAAATGACTGTTGCTCTCTTTCCAGACTTGCTTCCATTTCATTCAATCTCAGAAGATCCACAATTTGGGGCGAGTTCCAACCCGGCCTTCGACAAGGAACACGCGGGTCGTGATGCGTATGTCACGGAACAGAGCGGAGCGTACGACAACAATATACCAGACCAACCTCCTCCGCGCATCTTTCCCCCTGAAAGGACTTCCGGTCACTTACCATCTCCTACCACACCGGCCAGTCAAGGGATAGACCAATCAGCCGCCAGCATGGTGAACAAAGCAAATGAGTGGACGGGGCCTATCGATGACGTAAACCCGTATGCAGATGAATGGGAGGGTCCTGTTGGTGACGTAAACCAATATGCAGATGAATGGGCGAGTCATGTTGGTGACGTCGATTTACCCCGAACTGCTTTGGTTGTGCCCTCTGTCGATGTAGGCACGCGTATAGGTGAATGGTTCGATCAGTTTGAAAATGCTGACGGACTTAACGTTGACGGAAACAGGAGAGATGGCATACCCAATGTGACCCGAGCAGACATTCACCACGAAATGAATGACTACACGAATGGCGCAGATTTACCCGTGAACGATCACATGGGACGTGTCCATGATGACAGGAGGATGGCACAGAGAATCGCCGCCGTTGACCCATCGCTGGTGAGTCAAATAAGAGCACCGGGTTGTGACAAGATTGCCCGGGAGGTTTAATTGTTTGTTTGTTTGTTTGTTTGTTTGTTTGTCTGTTTGTTTAACGCCGCACTCGGCAACATTCCAGACGGCAGTCTGTAAAATCTCGAGTCTGGACCAGACAATCCAGATATTGATATCATGAGCATCGATCCACGCAATTTTGATACGATGACATGCATCAACCAAGTCAGCGAGCCTGACAACCCAGTCCCGTTAGTCGCCTCTAACGACAAGCATAGTCGCCTTTGACGGCAAGCATGGGTTGCTGAAGACCAGCTCCAACTCGGATCTTAACGGGTGCCCGGTTTGACCGGGCTTGTAGCAATACTGCAGAAACATTAGCGGGAGGAATACCTATTTGAGTCTGACTTGTTATGTCCAATTGCCTTCTTTGTGTATAGACAGCTATTATAGCCATAGGTGTCTCCACAATGATGACATCATTATTGAACTGATGACACCAGGCAACACAGCACAAATGTATATTGTTTGTCCGTTTGATAATAATTATGTCCGTGCCTTCAAAGACTATTCGTAGGCTCCAAAATCACAAACAAATTAGTCTTTACAGCTACATGTACCCGTCTGATTATGTTTACAGATGAATCCACACATTGGGCGGGGGAGAACAGGTAATTCTCCAGGTAAGAGTTATAAGCTTTTACAATGAGTACGAAACATTTTGTTTGATTTCTGTATTCACCCATGTCATCAGTTTAGCATATATACATGTGGTCCTTGAATAGACAGGAGCTGCTAGATACGGGTTCAAACTCAAATAATTCTTTCCCCTCCACAAAAATGCAATCTGTGCTTCATGTAACGTTCTCGCGCAGGATCAGTTTGTATCAATAAGTTTATAATGTTATTACACTAATCAATACTATCAACAAATTGGGACACATTTTATAGCAAGCTTGTAATCCAAATATCGTGTTTCATTTGAAAGATACAATATCTGTACCAGCGGCTCAAACAGGTGTAACGATCTTTATTTTTAAACGATACACAAACAGGCAGAATAGATGGACACGGAGAGAGGAGTACTCAACAACCTGCTGCCATGAAAGTTTCTGATTGGTTGGCTTCCGATCATATATCTCCAGGGCAGAGTTCTTCACAACTACATACAGGAGCTCTCGGTCGGCATGACGTATCTAGTCTTATGGTATGTAATAACAATGTGTTTGTTTGTTGCTTGACGCCGCACTCAGCAATACTCCAGCTATATGGCAGCGGTCTGTAAATGTTCTAGTCTGGACTAGACAATCCAGTGAATCGATCTACGCAATTGAGTGAGTGAGTGAGTGAGTACGGTTTTTACGCCGCTTTTAGCAATATTCCAGCAATATCACGGCGGGGGACACCAGAAATGGGCTTCACACATTGTACCCATGTCGGGAATCGAACCCGGGTCTTCGGCGTGACGAGCGAACGCTTTAACCACTAGGCTACCCTACCTTCCCTCTACGCAATTGAGATACGATGACATGCATCACTTGACCACTCGATCCCGTTAGCCGGCTCTTACGACAAGCACGGGCTGCTAAAGACGAATTCTAAACCGGAATCTTCACGGATAGAAAATAATCAGCCAAACCACAGAGAGTGACAACCCCATCAAATGTTGTCGCCTCTCACGACGAGCAATAGAATCCCGGCTTGTGGGTTCGCCTGCATCACTTCGGGATTTCCTCCCACATTAAGCTGACATGCCGTGATACAACTGGAATACTGTTAAGGCGGCGTTAAACACAACTCACTCACTCACTCACTCACTCATTACATTTGCCCTGTCGGCTTCTTTGTTAAGGGAGTATTTGTGCGATATCTTTAAAGGGAGACTACACTCGGAGCAACCGGTAGCCTTAGACAGCTTGGTTTATCTCTCAGTTGTCACCTTTCTTGTATGCTCGTTCCAATGTTATTATGTTTATCAATAAAGCAGCAATAATTGCCCCAATCACACAGCGATAATAAATACTCACCGTCAAAAGAAACGCGAATACCGTACATGTTGGGTAATATATGGAGACTCATATTCAAGAGATTTTAGATTGTTTCGATGCACTCACGAACATACTTGAATGTTGTGTGAACCGATGCTCATGAACGCATCACATGTGACGTCAAAGATCCATGACTCGAGATGGACCATTTGTCTCGTGCAGAATTAGCTGTAAAGTTTCGAAATCACGTGCAGCACATTGTGATAAGATTAAAGACACTCTGTGGTAAGACTTGAGTGATTGTTAGTTTTTGTCATTATGTGGTACACATTTGAAACATCTATTCTCAACGTACATACTATTAATATGTTTCTGTGGTTCGCGTTTCTTTTTGGGGTGAGTATATGTTTAACACTTGTCTAGACTTAGGCTGCATGATTAACACCACATACTGTGGTGATGAAGA